TAGTCCCGATTTGGAACACCTTTGCGAACACATCTTGCTCTTGCTTGTTAACGTTTTTCTTCATGAAGTGCGAGGACCTCAACCGTCGGTACTACTTGTTTTATTGGTGCGAATCTCGCTCAACAGTGGCTACATGGGCATGTAATGGGATCAGGTACATTTCAACGAATGCTGCGAACTAAATGAACTGTCGTAAACAATTGAACATTCTTGTCATAAATATTTGAATTCTTATATCTAGGTCTGGTCAGTGCCTTACTTGATCACACCATATGGGTATTAACGCCGATGCACTCGTTTACAGACATTCTCGTACATTGTTTTAACTCGTTTCACGATGTGTGGCCTAAAAGAGCGTATATAGTTGATGGAACAACCATACCGTGCTTCGCGCGAGGCGAGCCATGTCTTTTAAGGAGGTGTCTGTTAGGGGCCCTTTTCAAAGCACTTCCTGTTCAGTTAAGCGCGTTTTTTCAATCTGTTGAGCTATTATTATTATTATGACTGGTTATGAAGAGATTGGACCTAACCGTGGTGTGACGGTCTGTGCACCTCGGTGACCCATTGACCTATACTGGAGGGTGTACGCATGACACTCACAGAGTCTATCATACCAGTTTGGTCAATGGGTAGAGTTCTGACGAATACAGTCCCCTGGCCCTCCACGTTGGGTTTGGAACTTGTGTGGCGACATATTCCGTGAAAATGATAGTGTACTTGCATTCCCATCCCAATACCACAATTTCACCTTTTCCCTCTTCCACCATCCCCCACCTAAATTTGAACACTTTCTCCGCAGGTCCCAGCTCTAGGACTGACTATTTTGCTCACTCTGCATCACATCTAGCTGCAGTTTTTGTACGTCCGAGTACAATAACAACCTTAAACATTTCGAAGTCTGTTTTCACACCCCGAAAACTTGAAGCAAGCAGGCCAACAGGTGGCTCTTCATCATACACTGGATTCCCTCTGTATTGATGTATGTTGTCTGTCAGAAACAAGGACGCAGGACGCAAGTACTGTGATCGAACTGACTGCCCCCGCTCTCTTCCAGCTTCCGGCTGTGCACCTCTGATAATGCAGAGGCGGCTGCATCTAGATATGCTGAGTTGGCTATTGCGTTGAGTGACCGAGACTTAATTGGATGCCCGTTGGTAGTCAACTCTGTGCGGTTCGTTTGGGAAAATCTGTGAGAGAATCTTGAGGAAATCGAGTCCATTACACCTTGTTTATTGTATCTGCTTTCTCCCCAATCGACTGTAGCTCTGAATCTGCCAAGGACAGTTTCAATGACGCTCCAGCTGCCCTTCTGCAGCGGACCACAACACCTGAGATTTTATCTCAGGTGTTGTGGTGGTTGCTGGTGATATGAACGCCCAGGTAGGTAGACCAAACGCTGCTGAGCCCCGAATGGATTGTCGTCTTGGATTGGACACGAGACGCATGACCAACGGGGACGGATTCCTCCAGATATGCGCCGGTCACAGACTTCCTTTGCGGTACGAATTTCCGGAACAGCAGAAATCGCTTGACAACGTGGTTCCTACAAAAAAACACAACCATGAGTCCAGACCAGACCGTCGTCAACTATCGGTGGCGAGGGTCGATCACCGCCTGCCGCTCCTTCTGGAACACCAATGTGGACTCCGACCATGCACTTGTACGCTGCTGCTTTCAATTGCGCTTTTCAGGTGTTCGAAAAACGCGCTCACCTCACTTAGCCATTAAAAAGCTAGTGGACCCAAAAGTCAAGCGAAGCTATCAGAACCAGCTCCTTGAACGTTTGTCGGACGGTACGATGTTGGATATAGACGGTCATTGGGAAAAGATATCCAAAGCGCTACTCAAAGCCGGAGAGTCTGCGGTACAACAACCAACCTCATCCAAACATTGGATCTCTGATTGGACCATGTTCCTGCTGGAAACCCGGCGACAGATTCCTCGTGGCCGCAACCACAACTTCAACCGATGAATCATCCGACTCCAGATTAAACTGAGTATCCGTGCAGACTGAGAAGCTTGGTGGACCCGAAAGGCTGAATAACTGGAAGACGGAAATGTCCGGAAGTTGTTCCACTTGATTAGTTCGACCAGCCTCTTGCCAGCGAAATTATCAGGGACCAATTTGACTCCCTGATACGCAGCAAAGCTGGGTGCAGTACTTCGATTATCTATTCCACTGGCCACCTGCTAACTCCAATCAAGAATCCTGGCCTTCATCAGAGAGGTGAGCTGTGAATATGGAGCCTCCTTCAGTCTCAGAAGTGTCTGAGTGTAAATCTTTACTCAAGTGGCACCGTGCTGCATGTTCTGACAACCTTCCAAGTGCTCTTTTCAAGGATGGCGGTGAACTTCTTGGCCAGTGCCTGTCTAGCCTATTTGGTTCTATCTATCTGGAGGACACCGTCCCAGACGACTGGGGTGAATCGGTAGTAATGCGCATTTTCAAGAAGGGTACTCGCAGTGAATATATGACCTGGCAGAAGGGCACGAAAGAGATCGGAAAGAGTTTGGGTGTTGAGGGTGTTGTACGTCTTTCAGGATGGGGTCCCCATGACCATGCCTGTGGTTGGCTGGAGACGTTGCAAGAAATGGCGGCTAACCGATGTCAGTGGCGTTCGTTCTATTAGTTTCTTTCCAGATTGTCTGACTGAACGGTTGAAGGTGTAGGCACCTCAGAGTGCTTGACGTAGACTAACACCAAGTCCCCTCCCTCACCCAATCTTTTTCTTCTTTTCACTCCTGGGCTTTGAATTTCTATCTGGGTGGAGGACACCGTCCCAGACGACTGGGGTGAATCGGTAGTAATGCGCATTTTCAAGAAGGGTACTCGCAGTGAATATATGACCTGGCAGAAGGGCACGAAAGAGATCGGAAAGAGTTTGGGTGTTGAGGGTGTTGTACGTCTTTCAGGATGGGGTCCCCATGACCATGCCTGTGGTTGGCTGGAGACGTTGCAAGAAATGGCGGCTAACCGATGTCAGTGGTGTTCGTTCTATTAGTTTCTTTCCAGATTGTCTGACTGAACGGTTGAAGGTGTAGGCACCTCAGAGTGCTTGACGTAGACTAACACCAAGTCCCCTCCCTCACCCAATCTTTTTCTTCTTTTCACTCCTGGGCTTTGAATATAAGTATACGAGCCTCATGGTTGTACGGTAGTGAAGCATCAATTTCAAAACTGATGTTGCTGTCTTTGATAATGGCGATGATGAATGGCTGCTGTTATCGGACATTTGACCGACCAGTGAAATATCTCCTTCATTTCACTAGAAGTCGAAAAGAAATTATCAAGAAAAACTGAGAATGATCAGTCAAGGCCCGCCATATTAGCCGTTACCATCACCAGACTTCAAGTTGAGCACTGGTGAGAATATGGTTTACCGTTCGTAGTTTAGCGTACCGTTTTCTGTGTGAAGCGGACCCATAGCATCGAGTTGCGACTAATGTGTATTGTTGATGGAGCTCTTGTGGAACATTGGCTGGCAGCGGCAAATTAGGTACTCGCTTCAGTTTTTCCCTAAATCACGATCATCTGATATTTTGCTATACAACTGTAAAGATTCTAGATGTTTTTACTGATCGTTTATGAAGCTGGAACTGATTCCAGCGTTCCGATGTTCCTTCGTGTTTGTTGTACTGTTTTGACAATGATTTTTCTCACTGTAAGACACTAGCAATGTCTTTCCTATTTCAGGTTAACACATCAGAGACGGTTTATCACATCTCACGGCTTCTCACCCTGGCAGTGGCTGAAGTGCTTGGTCTTAAGTCATTTCCATGTCCTGACTATTATCGGTACGTTCCACAAGGCTTACAGAGACTGGTGCACCTTGCTTAGAACTCCAAACTATGTTTACACATTTGATGATATCGAGACCAATTTTTGATCCGACTCGGATGCAGATATTGTAAACTACATAAGCCTTCGGTCGCCATATCTGGCATTTCTAGCTAGGGTCTTCGTAGAATAATACCTTTCACAGTTAAAGCACCATCTGGTATGACGTAGCGTGAGGAGGGACTATTCTGGTTTTCGAAGTTATCACCACTGACATCAATACACCACTAATATCAACTAGGGCTCAAATGTCATACGAGCATGAGGGAAGAAAACCATAGTAAAGAGTGGAAATGAAACTGAAGGGTAGGGACCTAGTGCAAATAAGACTTGTGTACTCAACGGAAACGACGAGAGATAAGGTGCTTACAACTTTGGACAGCATTAAAATAGACACATCTGAGCATCATATCGAAGTAAGGCACCGTCAAAAAAATCAACCCAGCATCCTTTGCGAACCTAGCCCAACCTAGTCCAGGCGCACAACGACAAGTGAAAATCAACTGGGCAGTCCGACTAGGAAATGGCAGCACATGCTCCATGTCTTGCAGGTTTTCCAGCCACTTGCAAGCAGGATCACCGGAAGGCGCGGAGATCCCACAGCACTCAGTTTGATTGCAGGCCCTTTCATTCCACGTTGCAGTGTTGTAGCCTAGCTCCTGCCAATGTTTCGCGAACAGTCGCTCGGAAGAGAAAAAACGTTTTCTTCACACGTAGTTAGCTGTCAAAAAATGTTCACTTTGTATTCGTGTTTTCATCTGTTATGAATGAATCGCAAATTCACCCTCACATCACTCCCGTTTGAACAGTGTCCTTCTGCCCTGATGTAGTTATTCTGGTGAGTCCACACCAAAGAAGGGAAGCAGTGGAGTCGCTCTCATCAGAACCCAATAACACTGCATATCTCTTTCCGTGCTGGAGTTCGAACTCCGGACATCTGACATGCTAGGCGAGCTTGTTTTCTTTAATCCACCATCACACGCTGAACGCATTTGAATTTTCACATCTGAACACGAGGACATATACACGCCTGAGCGATGTGATTGGTTTACCTCGCGCCTCAAATTTTCTGACCATTATCCTTTCACATAACCTTTTCTTCATATTATTCACCCTTTTAGTTGTAACTCGGATGATCTACTTTCGAAAGGTGACAAAGGTCGTGTTCGATTGGCACTGCTAACCGGGATGTCGGATTGTCTGATTGCAACCAGCGTTCAGGTGTGTTTTATAAATGGCGTTATTCCTAGAGTAGGGCTTGTGCCGTTGATTTATTCGTAGGTATTCGTGGATAACTGTACTGGAGTAAAGTTCGGAGTGTAGCCAGTTCTTAAGTATTTGTTCTCAATGTTTTAATAAGGGAAACCTCGGGGGCGCCTGTACCGTAGCAAGGCTGCCACGAAAAATTTTGTGTCCTCGGTGCGTCAGGTCAACGGTTGAAACCGGTTGACCATCATCCATCCGTATTACCGTGTAGTTGACTATAGAAGAAACTTTTAAAATGTGACATCGTTCAGGCAATGCTTGGCTTCTTTTCGTTGTGCTTAGGAGGCCCTTCATCTCCGTGTGGACACCTGTGGCAATGGTGAATTGGATCGTGGTGAAGAATGTGATCTTGGTCCTGGATTAACAACTTCACTCAATCACTCGATGCCTTGCTGTAATCCAAACACATGTTTGGCTGACATTGGTGCTGTGTGTACACATGGCACTTGTTGCAACCAATGTGAATTTGTCGCCCGAGGCACACCTTGCCGAGTCGCGAGGGACCAGTGTGATTTGGCAGAATTTTGTACCGGAAAGCAAGTGAGTAGTATGTGTTATTTGAACCTGGATCCCACCTAAAGTAGAAACAGGAAACGCATTTCTGTGAAATGTGACAATCCTCGCTTTGGGTGTGTTTAGCGTTTCTAGCCCTATGTGATATACAGAAAGCATACAGTTATGCCCAATGAGAGAACGTATAGTAAATATGTGATGACACTGTGATATCCATTCGTGCCGTTTATTACGTTAACTTTGGTTGATTGGTATCCTGTTTTCAGAATTGTCGAAGCTTTCTTCTCTGGTTTGCATAATCCGTCACATAGAGGCTGGACCTTGCTGTGGTGTGATGGTTTGTGTACCTCCGTGTTCTTTTGAGCTCTACTGGGGGGATGCAATATTCACAAAGTTTCTCACACCAGCCTGGTCAATGTTTGATGTGACCAACAGTCACCTAGTCCTCCAGGTTGGAACATGTGTGGCGGATTGCCCCCTAAGAAAGCAGATGCACTGACATTTCCCACCAAACACCACTACCTTGCGGTCAGGCTTTTTAGCCAAGGGCTTTGGTTGGGGGCCGTAATCGTTCTATCTGGGCGTGGGCGCCTTAGCAGTATCCCAGCCCGCTTACAACCATGATTCCCACAATTAACAATACTGTCATGCCACCTTGTAGGGTATCGAAGCATCAGTGTGTGGGCACCGGTGATGACAATGATGTCTTGCATCATTTTTTCTACCAGCCAAGTATTATCTAAAGCCAAGCTAGTGCACTGACATTCCCACCAAACACCACTACCTTGCGGTCAGGCTTTTTAGCCAAGGGCTTTGGTTGGGGGCCGTAATCGTTCTATCTGGGCGTGGGCGCCTTAGCAGTATCCCAGCCCGCTTACAACCATGATTCCCACAATTAACAATACTGTCATGCCACCTTGTAGGGTATCGAAGCATCAGTGTGTGGGCACCGGTCATTTGCTTTCAACGGTGATGACAATGATGTCTTGCATCATTTTTTCTACCAGCCAAGTATTATCTAAAGCCAAGCTAGTGGAATCGCACGGCGAACTTCCACACACACACGACATTGAAATGATTACCAGGCATGTCTAAAGTAAACCTGTTGATTTCGGTTATTTAGCTACTGTCTTGCACTTGGAGTTTGTTGCACTTAGAAGTGGGTTGTTGAGAAATAACGATGCTCTGACTGGTGCATTGACGCTGAACTGTTCCCATTTGGGGACTGATGGCGATACATTTGATCCAGGAGGGCCTTTGTCTGCGGAACGAAGCCATTCCTTTCATTGTGGCTTGGTTTTTTGCATCCCGGAATCCTTATACAGGGAGGTTCCAGTTGTCAACCTGATTGAGTTTACTGGACAGGGCTTTTTTATCCGTTACCAGGTTTTACCACCCTTCGGTCGTTTTCACTTAGCTTAGATATGGGAAAAAGTGCTCCACAAGGTTGACGGTTTCCTCACAGGCTAAGTACATCAACATAATCAACGAAGTTTTAAATCGCAGGTGACTCTTCTCTCTAAAACCAGAGACACTGGTAACCGAATATGGAAATTCTCATATATCATCTACTCGAAGCGTCCGCGATTGTGATCCATCAGATGGTGCGAATCGCACTTCCATTGTCAAAAAATCCCTTCGGCAAACAACCTGACGTCACACCAGCGCCACATATATCAGAGAGCTAGACTTCCCAACTTTAGCGGTGATTTCGTCCTCCATCGAGGGCTTGTACAATCGCTTATGTAGGCTACTTTATCTAACACTCACCCAGTCTTGCAGTATTTCAGTCGTGAAGCTCATGCCAGGTTGTTCAGCAGAAGTGTTTTGGTGTATGGTTTGATCCTAGGAGGAAACGCCCTCTAGGTCTTTCGTCCCCCCCACCCCACGCCATCAAAAGAAGCTTGATGGACTGGTGCTATTGAGGCAACTGTGCAGAGATGAATGGCACGTGTCCCCCATTCAGAGCAAACCCGAGTTTGGTCCTCGCGGAGTTTTCCCTCTCGGTATTCGATCAGCCTGTGCAAGATAATACCAAAGATTGGGTGTGGCTACTAATCTTAATCCATGGGTGGTTCCGCGCTTTGTTCGGCTTTTTTTCTGCCTATCGGTATCACTGCTGACATCCTATTACGCCAGTATTTTTTCGCCACAGATAGTTTGCAATAAGGTTCCCAGATTGTTAAGCAATGTTTCAACCTGTTCTTTTAAGGGTGCTACCGGTAAATCGTCCGAGCTCGAGGTCTTGTTATGTTGAAGCGAACAATCTGATGTTGACGTTGTGGTACTAATTGCGGCCTTTTATCAACATCCCATTCAGGCTCATAAAGAGACAGGCCAGCTGAGGCGTTCAGCTCATCGTTCGAGATGATTCTGCAGATGAATTGCTGTTTCCCCTGTTTTAGTTCCAGAATATTTGATGTTTGGGTGATCTGAGTGCATCATTACCATCATTATCTCTGGTATGGATTTTCCGGAAGATAAGACCTGATCTCGTCTGACACTGAACGAAAACTGGAGCTAACCGAGGGTGGCATGTTGTTCCAGTGAGCTAATGCACTTATACACTGCATACCTGACGCAACGATAACTTTTGAGTATCGGGTTGGCCCTAACGAAACTGTGAAGACGGGCATGTGCTGAAAACCCTGCGTTGCATATTATTGATCACCTGAATCTCAATTCGGGAATGGCAGAATCTTGAAGTTCATTTAATTCGTAGCCCACCCAGCTTGCTGGTAAAGTTAGGCATTCTTTTTTGTCCGTGCCTTTTTCGAGAATCTTCACGTAAGACTACAAATATGCCAAACACAAACAGAGTTTAGCGAACTAGATTATCGTGCCCCCTTACATCTAGCAGTCACGTTCCGTCATATGCTGATGCAACCACTGACTAGGTCAACCTTAAGAACGAACTTTCTACCCATACTCTCTGCAGCCGAATTGCCCAACAGATCTGTACTTGGAAAACGGTTCTCCCTGCAGAACCCAGCCTTCCGGAGTCCCTCTCGTGAAACAGCAACCACACCAGCTTCAGACATCGACCGTAGACGAGGCGAATGCTTTGTGCTATCATGGTAGATGTCCAACACGTGAAAGTCAATGTCAGTCAATCTGGGGACCAGACGCCATGAAAGCTGCCGACTATTGTTTCGTGTTACAAAACACGAGAACAGCTGGTGCTTGTGGAATACATGGCGAAAACTGCAAGCCTGAGTAGGTTTCGATGATTTTTTTCGTTTCCTCCCTTGTCACTTTTGCCTATACATATTTCTTTTGGATTCTGTTGAGCCTTAATCGAGTCCCAATCGCGTGTATGTCTGTCGTCACACCCTGGAATGGATTCGATTTGTGCATAGTCTTGCTCGAGATAGCTCAATGGTTTAAGTGCGAACTTATTGACAGGAAGTTCCGTGGTTCGAACCCAACCTTCGCCTCTCAACTGCTCCTGTCTTGACTTGGGCGACTTGGCAGTCCTTATGTTCACTTCGGCAACTGTGCACCAAAATGGTGTTATAGCTTAATGATTTCCTGACTATCGATTGTCTCGCAACGGATGCTGAAAGGCGAGTTCAAGTAAACCATACTGTATCTCATCCGGTTGGTTGCAAAATTTCTGCCGCTGCAAGCAGCTGTATACTGTTGCTTGGTTTGTCAGCCTAGTTTGACTCGGTCTCGCAGAATGAAGCGCGATCTGAACCCACCTTATAAATTGCTAAATAACTGTTTTATTGTTGGCGCGTTAAGAGTGGGCTTTTAATGGAGATTTCGTTCAGTAACTTTAGCTGATCAATGCTGAAAAGCCTACGAGTACTGTCCAGCTGTTTCACACTTATCGGGAATCACCAGCAGTGCGCATCTCTGACAAGCGAAACTTGCATCTGAGAAACTGTTGATCGAGAAGCCAGTCAACAAGTGACTATGTAATGTAGGTCCTGTGATCGAAGAATGAGCTTTGCTATTTCCCGTCCAAGTGCGAGTTGACCACAGTATTGATCAACCACCGTGGCCTACTTGTGCAAACCACTAATCAGGAGGTAGCCGGTTCGAGTGTGGTGCATACTCATGATAATTCCCGATAAGGCTGAAATGGCTTTATAGTGCCTCTAAACTTTTTAAGCATAGATTGGCTTCACTTACACTACGAAGTTTTCAATAAAATTCCACAATCTCTAGCTTATAACGACTGGTCCTTTGTTTCATGCTGTATATGTTTAGACTCCTACTCTATTTTTTCATCTTTCAACTGTCCTCAGTGGCAGAGGAGAAAGACAGCATGGAAAACTGCGACTCCTATAAGCAATCAACTGCTACTTCAACTGCTACTCAACCACATACCTGTTCCTTCCAGACATACCATGTGTGGTCTGTTGCACTGTCAAGGTGGCCAACCACGCCCTGTTTCTGAAGAGGCCCAAGCGGGTCAACCCTTTCTGACGTACACCGAACATGAAGGCATGCAATTTGAATGCAAGTGAGTGAAGTCCCTTATCTGAAAGTCAACTCCACAGAACAGAATGTTTGTCCTTTTCTCGTCGTTGCTTCACAGATTTTGATCGGTAATAGTACGACAGGTCATACTTATTCGCTATCCACACATACTTGGACAGAATGTTCTTAAATGGCACTGCATAAACGTAACAGCCTACTCATAAGGTTGTTGGAAACCCTTCGACAACACGCGACCGGTTGTAGGCGCATTCCCCGAGTATCCATTAACCTTATGTTCTAACTGAACCAAAAGTGGATACATTTCGACAGCTGGTCCCATTTCTACACGAATTCGGTTTCGACAAGACTCAGCTGAAGCTGGTCCTTTTCAGCTTTCTGCTCAGTGGATTCGAATAACCATGTCTGTTTACAATTTTTCACAGCTTATTTGTTGGTCATCCATGTTTTGGTTGGTACGATTTACTGTATCCCACTCTGCGATTTCCATATGACAGGTATCTGTCCCACGTTTCCACGGTTCGGTTCGTTCCTGAGGGCGCCGCGTGTGCCACCAACAAGTACTGCTTCCACCAACAATGCGTATCGCCAAATGTCGCCTTGCGCTCGCAATGCCCGGTAGCACCCGTCACGCGACATCTGGATGACGGCCGAATAGTGGTTGAAAATGTCACCTGTTCGAATCATGGTGTAAGTTGTGGTTCGAATATATGCCGTGACTGTGCTATGTCTGACATGTCGCCTGTCCTACATTCGCCACTCTTCCCTTAACTGCCATTAGGAAAAAGCAAAAATCATGCGCTCCTGTTTATTTAAAGAGCTGGGATGGTCGCACTTATGTCAGTTAATGCTCTTATTCATCTACCAACTGTATTTTTCGCGCTTGTACCTCGATCTTGTGGTTTTCTATGGTGTCGACCGTAGTTTATTTCCCGGTGATTCTTATTTTATTTGTGGCTCTTCTCGTAATGAACTGGCACATCTTTGTATAAAACAATAGTAATAGTAAACAACGAACCTTTGCTGGATGACACGTACTTCTCAATCACTCCACGGAACTTATTTCTTTAACATATGGATTTAAATCCTAGGGACATGCGGCAACAGAAGTTTAGGATAACCACAACTTTTCACGACAGAAAATCCGAAATTTGTGGAAGAAACCAACCAATACGAAGCTAAATCTAATTTAAATTCAGCCTCGTATTCCTAACAGCTGGGCGCCCTAGACAACATTTCCAGACAAACTTTGTTTTGAAGATGTCCAGATGAACAATATAGCAGACCCAAGGTAATCACCAACGGGTTAAGATTCTTGCTCGACTCCGCTCTTTCAGGAGTGCTCGAATACTGTTACCACTAAGCGATATTCGTATGTAGGAAAGGTACGGTAGCGCAGCGTTGATGTCGAACACTAGTGTTATGTTGCTGATGATGAGAATGGTGATTACGTAAGGCCCTTTTATGTGTTCTTGAAAGCAGTCGACTACCACCTGTGAACGCTGTGCATCACTCCGAAAAGGCGCGCACACTGAGGGTTAAGATCCGCTACTCTAAGAGAGAGAGAGTGAAGAGATATTAGTGCGCAGTTTGATTGATTTTATTCAAACTAATCGCCCAGCTCCCAACGACCATCTACGCTACCTGAGCTACCAACATTTTCCTTTATAGAAGATATTATTGCTTGGAAGAATCGTCCCTCTCAAACATTCAGACGCTCCCATGCTTCACGTTGAAGACTGGTTTTTTCATGTTTTGTGGCATTAATTGATATTTACACTGCGTGTTTTTTCCGGAGAGTACTCCTAGATAATGCTCCCCTAAATTTGGGGTTTGTTTTCTGGTGGAGTTCATTACTCCTTGACTAATTTCCATCCTCGATAAAGGGCACCGATATCGTGAGAACGATCAGTTATCCGATTGGCTTCTTATGACTTTTATGCAACTGTACGAACTAGACACATATATGGCGGATGATTGGTGTACAAATTGAGGAATCATCCGTCGGTAAATGAATCCTATCCTCGGCGAATTCAAAACTCCTTGCATCAATTTCCCTGCTTGTGGTGAAACAACCGTGCCTAATGTCCAAACAAATATTTTCCTTCCACGAATAAACCTGGTGTTGTTACCACATTCTTATGTCCCTGTGAAGCGATTAATCACTTAATATATTTAATTTCTGGACATCAATTTTCAACACTGATGCTTCTTAGGCGTACAACCATTATTTATTTGAAAACCCTATTGGGAAGGGAAGAATGAAAGTGGATGGGGAAGGCACTTAGTGCTAACCCACCCCAATCATTTCAAGGTGCCTACATCTACAGAGACGTATTCAAGCAGTTGGAATGGGAGCTGACAAGAAGAGTGCCGTTGACACTGCCTACAGCTCCAATCATCCACAGTGGTTACCACGCTGTCCCCACCCCAGAAGGCAACTCGCACCGACAGTATCTGACGCTTCATAGTCCCTTTCATTTTCCGTTACCATGTCAACGGTTGAATGCCCCTCTGCTGTACCATTCTGAACTGGATACGGAAGGTAGTACTCTCTCTCTCTCTCTGGCAAACGATGATTGGGCGTGCGCAATACATGGACAAACTACCACAGCTTTTGTTGCCTGACACATTCTTCCGTTGATATCCCTGTCGCACAACCGAACACCCGTTTTGTAATGGTCTCGCTGCATATTTGGCTGAACCAGCATACACAATCTGTGGTTCCGGGGGAATCGTTATTAAAGACCTGAATAGGTCTCAGTTCGGCTGCTCGCAGCGGCCACATCGCGGTTAAAAAAAGATTGCATACTTTAACCTGATACGCATATCCCTTGAAATTCATAAATATGCCGCTTTGCCGCCATGGGTGTCCTACATTGGCCAGCACAACCCGAGTGTTAAAGGTTCGTGCATTGACCTCCTCTCTCATACCGCTATCGGAATGTATACAACCTCCAAGATACGTAATACGCTCCACAACATCGAGTGCCCTTCCTTGAACTGTAAGTGATTGCATCTCCTTACACTTTTCGGGCATAAAACACATGCTAGCTCCTCCAAAATTACGTCCACTACTGGGAGAAATAATTCAAAATTCAAGCAGCGCCGCCATGTTGTCTGATGTCCACTGTGGGTGGAGTTTATTCCCGACATAGTGCTACGATGTAGCATACCGACATTTAATAGCCAAGCAGTTGGAAATATCTATATGACGATTCCGATAAATTCATCTGACTTTAAGGTTTGCGAGGCTATCAGTTGCCAAGCTAGTTGCCCGCCCCGTATGGCCACCAAAAGAGAAGAGGAAAGCAGCTCCGGACGAATGCATGATCAAAATCCATACAAGCGTTTCAGAAGGAGCGATTGTCGATTATTGATCGGTAACCGGTGACGATTAGATTTGGTTGAGTCTGTGGGGCTTAATGTGGCCAAGCGATTTCGGTTCCTTCGGTTGTCGATGCTGCATTCGGCACATAGCTGACAATCCAATCAGACCATCCGATTGGGTCTCAGACGCACCAAGTCTTCTTATTTGTGCTTTCAAATCTCGGACATCACAACAATATCTGAACTTTTAAACACTCAATTCAGAACACTTGAGGGTTTAAAAAGTTATTTTCCATAACGTCAGTAGCCAGTCAAGCAAGGACTTTTCTGTCCGGTGGCTTAGAACGATACCGACCCCTACATAGCCAGTCGAGGCAGCATCTGGATCACCAGAGTTGCACAGCCTGAAGTGATCAGAGAGTGTTATGTAGTTAGCCCAGTTACTGTGTTTGGATCTTGAATTATTGTTTTTGATACGAAACACATACCAATTTCAAGTTAGTACATCGTACCAGCAAGAGCAGTCAGTTGGGTGGAAGCGTGAAGATTGATTTTTCGAAATCGGTGGAAATGTCGAGACGAAGACCGACACAAGATGAGTACGGTCGTCGGTCCTAACGGAGAGGCCTACTAGGTGAGAGTTATCAATGGGTTGGAGGAAGAAGTGTGTGAAAGGGAAGACTGGAGGCTTCCATAGCATGCTGTTCTCGCCTGCCCGCTTTGCTGTTTGCATCATAAGGGTGAACCTACCGGTGACACCAAGAGATAACCTATGTTGCTTGAGAGTATTGTTAGTTGTAGGAATCGTTGCTTGGACCGGAATACTGTCACTAAGAGTAGAAGGTGATTAGAGTCCTCCATCAAAGCCTTTGGTTCAAAGGCTTGACCTCAGGGTAGTCCTGTTCGGTGGGAAATGTTAATGAACTAAATTATTTTTAAAGAAAAAGTAGCTACACATGTTCTAGGTCCCGAACTTGGAAGACCTGGATATTGCGTTGCTCAGATGACTAGCCATTGACTAACGTGGTATGGCAGACTGCGAGTGTCGCACGGACACTCCCCAGTATAGCTTAATGGACTACGGAGGCATGCAAACCGTAAAACTACTACAAGGTTAGGTCTGTTTGTGATGGCCTTGAATATCTTGTTCGTACACGAGTAACATTTGTTATCGAAACATACAAGTGGACCTGATGCGAGATATTTTAGGTCGTGTGGCATAGCATTCCAGTGCAGCTGAGCCGTGGAAATTGCCGGTGACACCCGACTTTTGATGCTAAATCCTACCTGTTAGCCTAAATCAGACTGCCACTTGCAGGTGGAATGGTTGGTTGCAATTACTTCTGTACCGACCTTGTGCACTAATTCGGCTAACATGTACCGTATAGTTTTACACTCAACGTTTTGGGATCTACTGGCATTTGTATTAGCGGCAAATGGATTCACTTGCGGACTCTGAAATACGTCGTTCTGTATATCTATGGGCTCCCGCTAAAACGCCTGTTTACAGCAATCTCTTCATTACTGAACTAATTGCGTTAGGTATAACACTCTTTTTTATTATTTTACAGCTATGCACGAACGCTGGGTTTTGTCTCTGTCATCCCGGATGGACCGATTCAGTATGTCATGTTCCAGATACCACGGGTTCATCTTCTGCGAAGTCCAATTTCCAGTCTGCTTCCAGTGTTTTACATTCGAATTTGCATCCAGAGCAGGACTTAGTAGCACTAATCTGGGCCTACAGAGAAGCTATGTCACGTTCTGGTGCGGCAGCTGGTCCTACAAGCGGAGGTACATTTACGACGAATAATGTTCGCGAACTCAATTCCTTTCCGATTTCTTTGCGTCTAAAGTCAACTGCGAAAGCAGTTTCGGCTTGCTAGCTTGGTTGCTTGTAATATTGCGCTAACATAGTCTTTGGGTTACGTAAAATCTAGGATGCTCCAGCAATGGGTCCGGTCTCATTACAAACCTAGGAGGTAACTGTTTAGTCATGAATTTTGAGCATTGGATGAAAGCACATTAAGCTCTATAGCCAGGCCTTTGAGTGCCTCGCCATCTCGAAACGAAAATAGAATATATATTCGGGACTAACAGTCCTCTTGATAAGGAACGCCGCCACTGTGACTAACCAAACCCCTTTGTCCGGTTCGGATCCATTTATCCACGCTTGTTGTGTCGATGCACAAACGCCATTCTGACACGCACTCTCCTCCCTGATTGGCTATCTGACAATAAACCACGCCTACGCTTGCATGGCATTGTTCAGCATTTGGCATTTTTCTGTGCTTCGTATTCAAAATATATTCTTCAACTCGGTTAACCGTGTAGCAAAAAGAGGTTGGATCTCTACCTCTATACTTCCTTCTCAAATTATTCAACTGGTGTCTGCTCTGTTCGTTTTTAATAGCTTAATTTACCCAAGTGAACTTGGTTGTAGGGACACTAGACTGACAATGACTGAGGGTGTTGTTGTCACATGACGATCGGTTTTCTTGCTGATGTCTCTGTTTTATTCTACTCGGTTGTCAGCAGTAACATAGATTATCTCAGTTCGAAAAGCTAGGCAGTTCAAAAAATGCATTTCTAAAGTCCTGAAGGTGATGAACACATTGCGGAAATCGTTCTGACAAGTTTGAAAAGGAAGTTACAGAAGGAGAAAGAGTAGGGAATACTTATAAGAATGCGCCTATTCCGAATTGCTTTTCCGTTTGCCTCGGGCGCTCAATCTGTGCTTGCCACGTCCTCACGAATTATTTGAGGTATCTTTTTGCTGTTTCTACGTGTACTTTCGGTCCTAATAGTTTTATCAATGTCATCCCAAAATGATATTCACTCATGCCTTCTTGTATTTTGTCGCTTTAGTTTCACGTCAAATGGGATCACTCACAAGACTTTACGGTTTATGATGTCGTACTCTGCATTTTTAAACTAAATATTGCGATCTTCACTGCATCGTTGACTGAAAGGAGCACAACAGTTGTTCGAATGAGGTTTCATATATTCTAAATGTCTATCTGGTTTTTTAACCAACTTTCATAATAAGTACATGTTTTCACGGTCACTTTCACACCTTTTCCATGATTATTCAGAGCTATCCGATTCCAACAAAACCCAAATGAACACAGTCTATCTGGTTGCCATCCTCGGTTCAGTTGTCGGTGGCGTATTTATCTGTCTGGCTATCTTCATGCTGGTTTATCGGTGAGTGTAGCCGACCTCAGAATCAAAACAGCTTAAGTTCTTATCATTAGTTCAGATTATCTTGTTATCCAATATACAAAGGGCTCTTTTGTGCTCTTTTCCCGTGAAAAAGTTTTGTCTCCATTCTGACGTTTTCAGATGGACGCCTGTCATAGTCGTTGACGAGCTAATGAACCGAAGCTATTTTCGATAACTCATTTTCAGTCTAATGAGGCAAACGAAAACTGCCCTTTGTGGTTCCAAAAGTTGGGTCCATGTCTTTGAAACTATCATATCATTCGAATGACAGAATGTCGTCAGTATCTTCTTCATCTGTAATAACTGCTTATATTTCGTGCGGCGCTTATACCTGCCACGTTTTAGTTCACCGATAATCTGCAAAGATAGCGGTAGACAGTTACGCATTGAGGGCGGTAGTTGATATATGGTGCATGAATACAAGGATGTCAGTGGATTTTCCACTGTGGAGGTAGGGAATGGAAGCTGTTAGTGGAAAGTAACAAACTGGACGCGTGAAAGCTATCGAGCGCACGACTGTGCTGTCTGTCGGTGTCTCTACCCTTGCATATGTCCTTTTTTCGGGTTCCTATCCAGGGAGACGGCAATGACCGGCACAATCGAGTTTGCTGATAATGGCTTTCATAGTTCGTTGCCAAGTTATTGCTTGACCCCCTGACTCATATGGTTGTGCGAAACTGGCTCTCCCAGAGTGTCGGTCGACTGGTGTACGGAACATCTGACCAAGCCAACGCAAACTACGTGTTGTGATCAGTTCATCCGTTGTGGGCGAATTATTTATTCGAGAACCACTCGACATGCTTCAGCATTACTGGTCCGGTGTTCCCACCAGACTCGAGCAGTGCTCCGAAGATATCAACAGTCAATCACTGAGAGCTTTTTAACGTCCCCATGGTTTTTTTTACCTATCTAATAATATAGAGCGCACCGCACCGCAACACTGTAACCTGGACCACAGGTGATCAAGCTCACAAAAGCTGTCCTCGCCCTCTCAATCCGGATCGGACTATCGCCTCTGGCTGCAACACCGATACTGATGCAGCTGCCAAGGTGACAAATTGTTCTCCACTTCAATTGGCTGATTCCTTAGCATAAGGTTCTGATTCAAGCCCACCGAATCACCGCCTGTGCCTATCTATTTTTAAACCTTCAGAAACGTATAAGCCACACTGAAAGACCGTCTCGTCACATGCATTACATGAATCATCATTATCGATGCTAAAAACTACGTTGAACACCGATGCTTTTATTTTAAAAAACCTCTTCTGAAAAGGGTGACTTATGACTAGCTCAACAGAACCGGTCCAGATGCTGGCCACCTCAGATACCCACCGTGGATGTTTTCTGAATGCACATACAACGAATCTACTCTGGTGGACTTGAACCGTCCCTAAGTAAAATGTGTACCTTTTTAAAACGAGGTAACCACAACATCGCTTCCTATATATGAAAATGATTGGCATTGCTGTCTTAACAGATGCAATCATTGTTTTCCAAAGTATTTTAGCCTGCGTCGAGATGTACCACAGATTTGGAACCGAGGCTTGCCGACGCATTTCTTTTTATGGAGAATGGCTTATTTCAAATCAATGTCTGATGTTTTTTCTGTTGTCTTTTCTTCAAGTTTGGCTGGATAATCCCGTTTGGAGTGAGATTAACAATCACCTACACCCAGTGATAGCCCACTTCCTGGTCAGTCTTACCTTATCTTTTAGTCAGAACAATACTGTGTCCGCCAACTGAACATCGAGCTATACTTCACACCTAACACTTCACATTCATAAATGAGTCCCCATCCATACTAATTACATGTACAAATGAGTTCTGGCAAGCTGGATGGAAGTAAGACAAAAAAGCTAAACCTAAATATGGAGAATATATCTACGTAGCAAGCCCTGACACGACGAAACTGGTTGCTGACTGTCGGTGGATTTTTATCATACCTGGGAGATTTGTAAATCTTCAAGTTTCATGCTAGAGATTTCATAGAGCTAAGGAATACTGCGTTTTCATATTCATACTGTGAGTGGTATTTCTAATAATTGAGGTTGCGCTAATTATGTCGTAGTGTATGAGGTTACGAGCTTTCCATTTGAGGATGACTCATGACCCAGACGTGTCTAGGTAGTGATAAACGTTCCTGCTGCTTATTTGGGTTTCCTCTCAACAGTCGGCGAGGACGAGCGGGCTTCTCACGTAAGGCTACGAAGTCACGTTGTTGTTTGTGGTCCCAAGAACCTCACAATATGGGCACATCGGACAGTAAAAGGAACGGGTCACTTAGACTTCATAACACCGCTGGCGACGGACGGGCACTTCAGTACGCAGCCTTGTCTCCGACGGCAGGGCGCTCTTCACACGACGAAACGGGCAGATCAGGAGGTCTAGATCGCTCCTACCTATCTCGCTGGACTAGACACGACCGCCAGGCGTCTCCATCAGGTAGATTTTCTCGGCGTCATGGAGGCCGACGCGTGGCTTCTACTGAGAACCATCGTGAGCATCGAAGATCAGGTCGACGTCGCCGAAAACATTGTGATAGAGAAGACAACGAATGTGGCGAAAGGTCTCGTTGTAGCCGAAGGTCTGGGAAGCACAGTGACGGGAGCTTGGGTCCCGGAAGGGGACGACTCATCGAACCCGGATTAACTAATCATTCGGATACAGAGTTGGCTTGTAGACAGCAGCTTTTAACGGAATTCGAGAACAACAGTATCGATAGGAGTATCAAATTTGGTAGTATGCCTTCCTACAAGTAAGTCCAACGCTCGTCGTTCTTTTGCATAACCAATGTATGTTTTATAGGCGCTGTCCTGTGTCATATTTTGTGAATGGTTCAGCGTTTCATCTTGGCTCTCTTCATTACATCATACCGGAAATATCTGGCTTTTGCAGCTTTTCTGGGTATTCATTTTCAGAATACGGGGAACAGTGAATCCTAACGTCAAGGTGACCCATCACAGGAGGTGGAAACAATGTATACGAAAGATGGTATCATGTGATCCCAATTTTTCTCTCATCACCCTTTCAGAGAGGATAAACTGAAACAGACAAAACGTCCTCTGGATGATGGTCTGACTGGTCCTGAAGCCACAACAGTTGCACCGCTTCTCGTGCATGTCGCTGTACCGATGACCGCAATAAATCCCAGCGAGGATTTCTTGCCAACCGATCCATGTACAACCCTGAACGACCTTGCTTCTCTCCGGCCTTGTGGGATTCCCTCTTTTCTGACATCGTGTGCATCCGGACCCGCTTCCACTGTGGCTCCGCCCCCTTTATTTTCGCATTCATTGTCCGCATTCGGCCACTCCGATGTTACAGCTCCCTATACCTGGTCAACATCCACTTCAGCGCCTGTCCAACAGTCGGCAATGTGCTCCACTGCTGCTTTGGTCGAATCCGGGAGCGCCGGTATGGCTTCAACTGCTACTGTTGCATCCAAATGTGCCGTCCCCTCGGCTACACCGAAAGATACGGAGAATATGGATGAAGTGAGTTTCTTGCTATAGTTGATTTACTCATCGTTTTGTGCAAAACGAAACAATCTCAGTGGAATTACATGGATCATAGTTTCAACGAGTCGTCCAAGCGTGCTGTGCAAATTTTGAACGCGGTATTCTCGTCAAAACAGACCTCTCCTCAATTTATTTTTCTTTGTAATGATTACTTTCACTGCCTCACTGAGTCAACCGTTGGAAAGAGCATGTTAGCTGTGAGAACATAGAGCATTGTAGCGTAAAGAAATCGGGAACCAAGAGATAAGGGAATGCTGACAGAGCGGTAAGGTGGGCAGATGTGTCTGCATGAAAGTCCAGAAGCTAATCGGATGGCTAGCGAATCAACGGTTCATGCTTGCGTATCTGTTTACGTGCTTTCGGTATTCGAAATTCGGACTTGCTAAAATGCACTCATTTAGCTTTGGTGTCTTTGAAAAATCGTCATACAAACAATACGAACAGGTTGTATGTATGTAGATGCAGTTATGATTATGGTAACGGTGGACTAATATTTTAGGTGCACAGCTGAATTAGATTCGGTGGCTCCGATTCTAGTCAGAGACAGCAGCGTGGAACACTCATTCACTCTTGTTGATCCTCTTTCGGACACCTGTTAGGTGCGTGTGACGATTCCTTTGGTATGAACGATTATCTCACAACTTTCCTCCGATAAATTTCCGGAGGTGATAGCTGGTAGATAAGGGATGGGAACAAAAATACACTGCGTTTCCGTTGTTTCCGAAAAATTAAGTAACAATTTTCAAACTAGTCCTCTCCCCATCCACCCAAATTGGGCCAATCCTTTTTTTACAATCCTACAGGTTAACGAGAGACAAGCAAATTTATTCTGATTGAGCTTTTCGGCCTCGCTTGATGCCCTTGTTATCAACCTACTCCGCATACTTTAACTTTCATTAGATTTTTCATGTCTTAAAGACCTTGAAGCTTATCTCAGCCTTATGTCTCGCTCAGTGGTTAAAGCGCTGGACGATTGCGCACAGCCTGATAGCCACAGGCAATTTGTAGCCTGCCGTAGGTGACTGAATTGAATTTCTTGCAACCGATTTGGACTGGAGGGAATAATGTCAGAGGCCGAACATTCGGAGGCCTATTAGAAGCCAGTAGCCAGCCTAACGTGATCGTACAACGATGGCCTCTGGTGCCAATTACTTGTTAACCATCGAGTTACATGTGTCATCCATCAATCCTCTTTAGCCTCAGCGTAATTCCGCACCTCTTACAGTCTAGTGCAGTTTACATTTCGAGTGCCGCCCAGGGTCGTACGATCGACTTGACAGTCCTCCAACCACATGACTTTGTTGCCTTAATCCTACGGTCAACGGTGTCTTCATCCTTAGGATGACAATTTCCGGTGTGTAGTAATAAAAAATTGAAACCAGTCAGTCACAGTGCCAGTTGACGTTTGGCAGATGGACTGGTGAGTACACTAGTGACCCACAAGACTGACTATATTAAGACACCTGCGTCCGTAAGGTGCGCAAGGTCAAGGCTACTTTGGGGAGATTGAACCCTTTGTGAACGATCCCCTTGTTTTGTAGCATTGCGACGCGTCGCGTCTCAAGGCTTCATGTCTGCTGGGGCAGCTCTTTTCCAAGCCATTCCTCTAAGTTTCAGGTTCTAAAATCTAACATGAAAGTCACAGTTCTTCAAACTTACCTGAAGACTGTTCCAATGGCAAATCTTCTGGCCTTGCTGATTTCAAACTTCATTCTTCAGTTGGAATGTCAATTTTGGCCATCAGTTTCAAGTGTCTTAACCAGCAAAGCTGATTTCGCATCAGCCTGTACTCAATTCAACACTGTTTTGCTTTTTGAAGGGCTTCGATGTTCGGAATTCTGTCCTCCCATTTGATCCGACAAATAGCATGCAGACAGTACGAGTAAATTTGGTCAAGAAACCTAACTTGTTGTCAGCGTCAAGGTCGTGCTGCAGTACTGTAATCAGAGCGGTGCAACTGCCCGGTGCACTGTAATCTTGACATTTATTCGCAATTACTTGTTGCTTCAGACTTGTTTCTTAGTATGACCAAATACCGTGCTAACCTTTGCAGTTCCTGTGTTTGTATCACTCTCGAGCGTTGAACCCGTGAACAGTGTGTTCGCACCACAGACCTTCCGGTCAGTTAGTTCGGGCTATCTCGAGCTATCAGAATATCAGCAACTAATCGATGGATGGGAATGATTTTCATATCTCACAGCAGTCGCTAAACTTTTGCAATCCTCAAATCAGTATCGTTAGCGGTTTTTACAGAATTTGTGTCGCTTCCTTAGTTACATGGACTAGGTGGCAATATTTATGTTCTGCTTTTTTGTGTTCCTCATGGCCCGTATTACTTCCGGAATTGCTAATGATCGTCCCTTATAGACCCAGTTTAGTATCATAATGGAGAACTCGTGGCGTCAGCCGGAGAAAGGGATACTGAAGAATAAAAACGAAGGTGGGGTTCCTAATTCGACTGGTGGCAACTCTAATCGCGTCAGAAAATCCTCAGAACGAGCACGTCGACGAGACGAACGTCATCATCGCCGCCATCGTCGCCACCAACACCACCGCAGCAAACGTTCTCGATCGCGGGACACCAGCGACAGGGATCATCCTTCCGAGGACGATTGCGGTGCCAGTCGCGGATCCTTGTGTTCTGAATGCTCGTATTGTATGTGCGAGCGTGATGAACAACAGGAGACAGATCGTTGCCACTCTGTACCTGCGACTGATCAACATCGCGTGCGGGAACGTAATCCTATCAGTTTAGATCTGAACAGCCAGCACAGCGGAAGTTCTTCGGGATCTAGTCACTCTTCCTCTTCCTTTTCGGCTTTGGATACGAACTTGGATTTGCTCAGCTCCTCAAGTTCAACAACGAGCACTTGCTCCACGGCGTTAGAGGTGGGACCAGATGGAGTCCGCATTCGCCGAACAGATGATCCAATATCAGACCGTCACCAGCGATCAAGCGGACGGAAATTCTTGACACGAGCACGGCGGGAGCAATACCGGATTCGGCCGAGTTCTGATGGTGATCCTGGCCAGTGTGAGGTGAGTACTCTGCCTTAGTTAAGCTTTGCTATATGGACCGGTAAGATTCAACGCTCGCAATAAACATTTATGATAGGATCCAATAGGTGTTTTATAAATATCCGATTACCTGATAACAGACCGGTGGAGATGTGAAATGTGTGGTTCGTTTATTTACATCAATGCTTGGCACCGTATATCTTCCCGCATGGAGTAGATCAGTATATGTGTTTGCGCGAAACTGGGACATAACTTGAACAGACTTGATGGTTTCTCGGATCATGAACAATCGAACGTGGGAACATGCAGTGTAGGTGAGATCATGGGTTCTTATCACCTGTTTCCACTTATCTCTTCATTTTCCAATTGTACACAAGTATTTTGCTTTACCCACTTATCAGCATAGACCTCGTTCCACACGGGATAGACGTGAATGTCGACATCATCGGCACTATGGTCGACATGGGAAGTGTCACAACCATCGACGTCCTATTCATCACCGTGACTCCGAAATCGAGATTGCCACAACATCCAGTTGTGGCGTTTCCAGCTCCTCCGGAACCGTCGGTGCCTTAGAGTCCCTAGGTTCTTCTTCAAGTACTAATCCGAACAGCTCAGTTGGTCTTTCAGGAGGTTCTTCATCTTCCTCTGGAATGATTTCGGCTACCGGGCGTCACTTTCATCGGTGCCACAGACTCGTTCGTGCGAGAAAGAACACGGATGATGACGCAACATCTGGATCACGTCGAAGTAGTCCCGTGCATACGGTACCCACGATCTTATGTAATGCCGGTCAACAGACGGATGAACTGAGCCTGTTGCGAGCCAGCGGGCTTGCAATTATCCCCAAGCAAGGTTAGTGGTAAAATATGGTTAATCGTGGACTTAATTTGTGGAGACCTAGATTAGGTTTCGTAAGCTTACATATGTCACTATGCCTTCCAATTAACTTTCCGCGTGATTTTCATATCTCTTACATTGGTCCTCGTTTTTGACACAATAGATGATTCAGATCGCCTGACAAGCAACCGTGCTTCCATTCGTGGAACTGAAGAATCAGATGCGGAGTGGGAGGAGGTGGAATGCAGTGAATCGGCCTGTGAAGAATGTCAAGCAGCAGCTAACCAAACTGCTGGTGCCAATCAGCACCAAACGCCCATACTTGAACAAACTGTACCGGTCTCACAACGGTTCCCAGTCACCAACGGACACATTTCCATGAGCAATGAATCATCATCTGGTCACACAAATCCAGCTTACATGCAATCTTTCAGACAAAATGGCGAGGCAAACATGTCTAACCCAAGTTTAGCCTATCAGCAACAATCTACGGCTTCTTCATCTCTAGGTTCATCAAAAAATTCCCGAATGGGAACACCAGCAATGATATTCGCTGCACAGCCTACTGTGTTTTTAAATGCATCCAGTCATTCACCTCACAGCAGTTCATTGGCTGTGGGAAATCCCAAAACAGGAGTTACAAATCAGGCAGCATCTTCATCATCTTCTTCTTCAATGGCAGGTCAACCTTCCTCATTCCAACGGATAACTCAAAACTTATCTTCAAAGGCAGTGACATCAGGTAGGCAAAAACAAACGCCTCGTGCGTCTCCTTTGTGAATCTACGCTTACATTGGGTTTGCGCTAACCGGTGTTACTCATTCATCGCAAAAGGAACTTCTCAGAAACTGACACTTAAATTTAATCAGGGTCAACGGGGAAAAAAGAAACCATGATGCATTCGAAGGAATATAGATTAGGTGGTCGCCGACGGTTACGAAATGTCCGGACGCTGTTGGTGCTGTTCTGCTTCCAGAATGAGGTTCACGTGACCCTCCTTGCGCTTACCTGGATACATTGAACGATGTGGTGGCTAACCGATGTCAGGGACGTTCATGCTATCAGTTTCTATCCAGATGGTGCGACTGGGTGTTGATGGTGTAGGCACCTAGGATGTTTTCTTTGGGTTGACCCCAGGTCCCCCTCCCTATCCTATTTTTTTCTCTCCATTATAAGACTTTACTCTAATAAATTTACATGGCTATGCGGCAGTGAATCACCAGTGCTCTCACCTGGTGTTTCGGCCAATGATGATGATGATGTCTGAACCACCAGACGTCTGTGTATAACTAGTATGCCAAAAGTGGGCATGGTGATGCAAAAAAAACCACAGAAGCCGGTATAAAATCCGATTAATAAGATTAACGGGTAGGTGGGCTAAGGTGTTCTTGGAACCATTCTAAACCTGATTATCTGATATTTACTGTCAGGTAACATGAATCAGATAATGGTGGTGTTTGTTGGTAAGTAGTTTTGAGCGGCAGTGATTACTGGGGAGGGTAAAAGTAGTACAATGGTTGAGAGCGGAATGAAGTGCCTGGCAGAACTCGACCGAATTACTGCTCAACTCAGGGGTTGATCGCTTCAACCTTTCAGTCTTTTCTCTTTATTTTAGGGCTTTAAGTTTAGTAAAGTAACCTCTATGGTTGTACGGCAGGGAGACATCAGTGTCAGCACTGATGTTGCTGTCTCTAGTTGTGATGGTCAGACAGATTTTGTACTAGAACAACGTTCGAGTGGCATTCCATTCGATAGTATTCTGCAGGGAAACCTGGTCCGTTTTAAAGACTCGGAATTATCAGAATAACCAAGCGGACTTCTGACGCGTAGTCAGAGGGCTAAACAGCTGGAACCAAGGGTGGAGGAACACGGACGCGACTACTTTCACTCCGATGTATAAGCGAATTTTTTTTCCATCCTCATTCCCTCGTTCCAAGATTGTTCCCCCATCCTCATTCCCTCGTTCCAAGATTGTTCATACGTAGTTTGCAGTCCGCGAACAGAATGCCGTTCATTTAGGTTGATTGTTGGTTTTTTGTTGTTGCGGATTTTGCAACTCAACGTTTTGATCCCCTCAGGTGATCCGCCTTAGGGGACAAGATATTGGAATCACAAAAAGCAGAAGAAACGGGCTGACTGGCGTATATCTATTTGCGATCAACCACAAGGGTCTGATGAATTGGTCTATGCTGTGCGTTAGTTGAAACTGAGGTCAGATGATCCCAGGCCACGCTTTGAATGCGGACTGACTAATGCCCCGATTGACGCGGGTGGGTCGCTTGTGGACTTCCAAGGCTTTCGCTTAGCATTAGTCTGTGCGCCTTTTAGGCCTGTGTGAATCGAGCTTGGTCAAAATGAAACTGTGGCTTTCTAGCGTTGCGCACAGAGCAATGGTCGTCTTTTACCAGCTTCTGGAATTGCGAGGGGTTTTTAAGCGGAAAGCGTGCACCCCGCCACGCGCACTCTCAGTTGTCTACTCGACCCTCCGGTGCACATAGCAGCTGTTGATCGACCATCATCTGTAGCACTCTTTCGATGCCAAGCTACCATGCCACTCCAAGGAAGCACGAAAGGTGGGATACTGCCAGGTTGCCCAAGCCTAGACAGGAGGAGTCGAGATGCAGGGACCGGTTTCGAACCACGGACCTCTCGGTCAGTAAATTCGCTCTCTAACCACTGAGCCATCTCGACCCGTAGCTACTATTCAGGTTGGACCTGCTGAGAACATCTGCTATCTCTATTTCAGTCGTGGAAGTGCAAAATATTTCAAATGAGTTCATTCGACGCAACTTGTCGAATATGCATTAACCCGAATAACCAATAAATTGTTGTCTAGCGAATTGACTTTGCAAAGAAATGTTGGGTCTTTGGTAAATCGAATACATTGAGGCAGCTCCATTGAAATATACATCATTCAGCCACTGATATGCAGTTCTAGGTTTCGAAATATTGGTAACTCGTGTGCGTTTACGTGTGGTTGATCAGACGGCCGTTGATCTGTTCTCCAAGCTTGGCAGTTGGCTGGCAAACGTCTCGTCCTCGATCGAGGAAATCTGTCAACGCGCAGTTGCGTGGGGATTGAAAAATAGGTAATGGGCAACAGGGAGGCAAAACGGCGTTACGTTGAACAGGCGTAAATCACACTACTCATGAGTAACTAATACAAGTAGGAAAAATAACTGCTGAATGTCGCTGATTCGCAAGAGCATATAAAGTTCAAAATTTAAACTATGACTCAATGCAAACTTGAGGCTACACGGGGGTGTCTGTCATTCAGAAAATCATCGACATCCGGTGGTTTCAAAGGCATTGTGGTGTTTGCTGATTTGTCCATCTGATTATTAATATTGACTAAATTCATCGGATAGTAAGAAATTGTATTTGTGCGCGAGCAGCGTCTGTCATACTGGAATGGCCTTACCATTTCTCAATGAACATCCCTGCATTGTCTTACTCCCAAATTCGCAGAAGAGCCCGCCGGACAACATAGTGAAACTGAGGTGGACGCCCATTTACACCAGGCAGCTACAAATGGACGTCCATCGGGAGCTTTCTTCACCTCTATTCCGCAGAACCCTCTCATACCGAACGCAATCCAACCTTTTAAACAAGTCAGTCAGGCATCGACCGCCTCGTATACGGTTATGCCGACAGCTTATTTCCAGCGGCCAAATCCCGGGTTCGCTCTTCGTGATGGGCTCCCCATCCTAGCAAGCACAAAGACCCCAACTCGTCCAACGCCACACCCTGGGCAAAGTTACGCTGGCGGCCTGACACCAGTGCACCAGACCGGCGCAAATCCCATTAGTTACCATGGTAAGCAAAAATTTGTCTTCATCTTTCTCATCCTAATCAAATGTACAATTTTTTTGCCATTTTGCACAGTACCAGACACGCTAAAACACGACTGTGCGGATCCTGTTGATCCAGTGGATTCACAAAATATTCACGCAGTTTTAATGAAGCAGTGTTCTTGAGCGTATTGCGGTACTTTATTGAAAGTTCATTCGTCAGTATACTCAGGGAACTCACGCAATGTTCTTCCGTTTTGCAGTTGCTTCCCTTGATGCAGTTTCTACCGATCATAGAGATGCATACTACCAACACCCGTACGAAGATGTAGCGACAGACGACTACGCGGAAACATCCAGTAGTGGCCGGCCGGGAATGCACCATGTGCAGCACATATATCATCAACACGGTATTCCCTCCGAGCCGATCGATGTAAATGGTTGCATTTACACCAAAGGTGATGAAGATGAGGATGAAGAACGTTTGAGCCTTGACGAGGGCTCTTCCAACGCCAATGGGATCGGCAGTCCTGCATCATTACCAGGTAGATATGATCCGATCACACAGCAACATGCCTCAAACAACCATCCTCGTGTACACGATTCCCGATTGGTAAGGCCGATTCAGCAGCACCAAGCTCAGTGGTTTGATGGGTTCCGGAACACCGATGCCTCTTTTGCCATACCTGCCTCTCCAGGAGTACCCACTATGACACAGGTAGGAAGATAGGCAGCTTCACCATATTATGACATCTGTAGTTTGACCGCATGCGTGTGTGTTCATTCGATGTTTTGTTTCTGAAGGCATCTAATGAACTTTGCGTGTGTTCAAATTACCAGCCAGGAGGTCACCGGTTCGGGACCAGCTGGAGTTCCGTGAGATTCGCAATGCTGGTGATTCCCAATAAGAATGAAGCAGCTGTACAGTGTTTCTCGGCTTGTCAAGATAGATTACCTCCGTTGAAAAATCCCCAAATCTCACACTGTCATCAATTGTTACTTTTTTAATCGGAAAACATGAGCTACATGGAAGGAGAGATCATATTAATTGAAGGCTTATGGTATTTGCGAAGAAAACTGCACATTCACAATATCGGTCAAAGTAAAACTTATTTGTTACATTTCGTTTGGAGAAGTTCACAACCGAGCGTTACGTTCAAGCCTCAGTTTGACACCAAGTCAGTAGACAAACGGGTTCTAAGGAAAAGAAATTCGCATCGATCAGGAGAGAATCGGTGACAAGCCATCCAAGCTAATGAAAAAATGAAAATAGAGTAGCTTGCGTTTCTCCTTAGCTCCAACTCAACGGGTACATCATTCAGTATAGAACAAGACATCTTGGATTTCCATGTAATATAGCACTTACGGGGTCAATGTCAGGGTTTTAACTCACATCGCTCGAATGATAATCCATAATCTCATCCAATAAACCATCCCACCTTCTTTGTAGAGGTCCAGAGGAACGACCGCTTCAACCAAATACAACTTTAGGACTAAGTTCAGGCATCACCACTGTGTTAGTTCGTTTTCCAAAATCACTCTCGTCGGCAATGAAGGTTGACACATACCAATGTTCTCCTCTCCATACCCAGCCTCTGATACCTTACGAAAGATTGTCAAGCGAATTCAAGAACCATCTTAAATTGTTTCCCCCTGCCCGACAATAAATCCTGTGAAATAGGTAGTGTAGATGGGAATTGTTAGGGGAGGCACCCAATTTCTTGTGTACCGAAACTATGTCACGTTGTCTCTGAAGAAGGAACTTATGGAAGTTGACCATTTTCAAGATAAATTCTAAGAGTTTATTGCTTCGATAGTGATACGCAGCTGCTTTTCCGCCGGTGAACACGGTTGCCTTACCTTACGAAACATTGGCGTGGTCCCAGGGGGTAAGCGATACCGGGTTTCCAAGGCACATACAGCTAACGAGAGTGGCGTTGTCGTTTGACAAAGTGACTGTAGGCTTGATGTACCGACATAGCGAGGTGTCTATGAGATTTACAAAGCTAGTCACTGAAGCCAGGTAAATCCACTCTGAACACTTCTCGAACATAGTTCACTGCTAGGATTTGAAATCCTTTCTTAATGCACAACTGTCATTTTGGAAAACATCCCAATGGTCTTGTTTCATCCGGTTTTAGTTTTCTGGGATTGATTCAGATTCAGTTGGTGTCACCAAGCCTTCTACGTTGAGTGATCTGGACGATGCTGGTAGTGAGTTCAGCATATCTGCATTCCGCAGGGACGACATACGTATTCCATGTCATCAGCCGCGCACAGCCATTGGCGTTGGAACTTTGCATGATCTAGGTAAGCCACACGCGAAACCACATACTTCAGCTCTGACCCCTGGATCAGCAGATTTCGGGGTGGATGTGCGCAGCAACGACGGTACTTGTGATGAATCGGATGCCAGCTCGCTTCCTGAGGCTGGATGCGATTTAGTCCAACTTGCACAGCTTGACGTTTCTGGCCGCCTGAATCCTTTGCTCGGTGGCCTAGCTAGGCAACAAGTGAGCTTCTTTTAACTTCGTGCTATTTCAGATTTGTGTCGTCGAACCCCAGAGTAATCTGAGCTCTGGAAAATCATGCCATCTTGGAAATGTTCAGTTTGGTTTTATTGAATAATTCCAACAGCCACTGTAATGGGATTGTTGCAAGGATGGTCATTAAATAGAGGAAGTTTCGCATCGGTAGTTTGTTTCATTTCGTGGACCAGGCAACCCATTTCTCTAATCAATGTAATCCGGGCTTGGAAACGATTTTTGTGACGTGCGTGTTTAAACGGACCATTGAAAGCTAACGCAAAGAGTAAAATCTAAACATCGACGATGCATTTACCTGCAGATAAACTGCATTCGTTTAGCCGAAATTCTGTCCGTTTCGTGCTGTCCATGGGATATTCAAAGTGCCCCTTCAATTTGATCGATTCAAATATTGGAACCAGAAAATACCTATAAACACATACGTAAATAGTCTACTGTCATAACCAGAGCTCACCAGTGTTCCAATATTCCTGGAGATAGTTGTCCTACCTTGGCTGCTGTTGGTGAGCGTACAGCGTACTCAAAATTACATTCAGTAAGATTTGTTTTCGTTTAGTTCAGCTCTCACAGCATGGATATTTGCAAGGTCTAGTTAAAAGAGAAAACACTTTTCCACCGCAGTCATGCGACATCGCTACCCTCCCTAACAAGCCACTGATGTCACTTCGACTAGTGATGAAACGTTTGCAATCAAATTACTCCGTTCAGCGAACAAACCAGCGACCACTTGCTAACTGTGCGTAACTGTCTCAGTGATAAGACTGAAACTATTGAAACTAATTCCTTAGACCAATCTGTCACCTTACTTGTCTACTTCATTTTGCGGTAACTATCTCGGGTTTACGGATGAGCGGACTCTACTGATGCATCGTATCGCGATTTGTCATACACCCTATTCCCGCCTGTAATCTGAAGTTTGGTGATCCAATGCGGCCAAGTACAGTTCAATCCTATGTTAGGCAAAACGACAGGTTTACGTGTTCTTATGGTATTTGTGGAGAATTTTCGGTGTTTCGTTGATCATACGCCGCAGACGTTTGATTTGAGGTTTTCTCCTTGACCAGCTTTTTGACTAAAGTGACTCAATAATGCGGAATTCGTCCCATCGAATTCTGGTTAGCTATTCACTTTCAGTGACTGTAATTAGTGTTATATCGGGGTGTTTGTATGGTTTTATAGCGTTGTATGAACAGTAAAGGTCTTCGGTAGATTGTAATATAAATAGAAGCGTACAGCTGGCGAATACAGCCAAGTTTGCTGATTCGACAATGATAATACGATAGGCAATCTCACTGGTAATTTGAAACAGTTAGTTCCTTTGAACTTGCAGGCTACCGCACGAACCTGGGTCCCAGCAATGGCAAGCGGAAGCATCCAACGGTGTGCCACAGGCGCGTCCAGTATCCATGACGGCCCGGTACGCTCTTCTTTTCAACCGTACTTGTCCAGGGAGAGCACTCAGAACACTTCAACAAGTTGTAGAGCCGATTTCCAACCACCAGAAGGATGACCACCTGTTTCTCTTTGTGTCGTGTCCTCCAAGTAAAAGAGCCTTGTTATCTCATTACGATTGAAAGGTGTCCACTTCGTTTAGTAACCAGGTCCGTTCAACAATTTTCCGGCCGATTTATAAATGCTGAGCTGCAGTCGTGTGCTCTTTTCTGTCCTCTCTTCCCATCCCAAACGCTTTGATTTTTATTGATGACATAGGCCTTTGAATAACCAAATTTTATTAATTGCAAGTATTGCTCCTCTTGCGTATTTTCCGCACTTTTTTATGATCTCCTACATGTTCGAACAGTTTGTATTGTCTGTGCATTTTTATCAAAGTTTTGATTTCCTGCATTTGTAAAAAAAGTACTGGCTAACAGCATAGATGAAACCACATGATGACCTAGGATATTTGTTTCTTTTCGGAGCTTCAAAATTGCGTCACGGCTGCTATCTCCCTGTCTCTTGCACCCATTGTATACAGCATTTTTAGGTTCATCTGGATTGTGCGAAACTGAAGACGTTTCTTTTTTCAAGCCATATTTCTCATTTTGGATTTCTAAGTAGACAGATGAACAGAAATGCTCAGATTAGCTGACAACGGACCCATCGCACAATACACTTCCAGCCTGTGCTGACATTCTGTTCCTCATCCATACATGACTCTACATTTCAAATGGTTTGGGAGTACAACCGAACAGAGTGCAGTTAACTTCATTTGTCCGTTGGTTGACGTCCTGAAATCCTCAGGCTTGCGGAGCTTCCCCACCATCTAAAACTTCATAACGTCATGAATGAGTATGCATATTCGAGGCTGCGCCCCATACTTTAATGAGCTTCCGTTCATTCGAGTATGTCTGAGATGTCGAAAAGACCACCTTCGCTGTGATAGTCTTGTTCTTTGCCCTAGCACGAAGATACTTGAGAAAATAATCTTATTCAGACGCACAAAATATATCGCGGAGTCTCCCAAGGTTCATTAAAATTGAAAGATCCGATACCTTCGGATTGCCCCCAACGGGTTACCTGAAAAGCAATTTGTACAAATTCCTCTATATGTATGTATTTTTTCAGCGCGGGTAACATTTTAATAATAATTTGATCAGACTGTTCATCTTCCATTCCCATTCCCGACCACGAACGTCTTGAAAACAGCAAAATAATACTAGAGTACCTAGAAACGAGACCTTTGGTCGCTGTATATGCTACTTGGTAATAGACGAAAACGATTTAAATGCTTCTGACGGTGCGCCCGTGCCCCAGAATGTGATAAGTTTTTTCCCGTTTCGCGGATTAACGTCAACTTCCACGGACCCCCTCCACACGATTCTACATTACTTGCGCCATTGCATATTTTGATACACAAAAACAAGGAACGAAGACTTTCTTCCACAAAATGTTGCTGACTCTGCCGGAGAATAATTACTCATGCTTCGTCAGATCTTAGTCCAGCAGGGTCGACCTCAAATCAGAAAAGGTGGCCTGGTTTGTCAACGAATGAACCACTGATCCTTAAAACAGGAGCTCCGAGGACTGCAGAAAAGATCTGAAAATTTCTTTACGTGAGGTTGATTTCAAATCATTAACGCCTGTCTTGTTAGAACAGAAAAGATGGCCTGGATACTATTGTTAAGATGATTCGAAATCAAAATAATGCTTGTTTCATGTCAAATTAAGGTGGCCAAAGGATCCACAAACGCAGTGCGCGCAACCTCACGCGTTTCGTCAGCAATTTTTTTTATTTTCAAACTGCATAAACGGTTATATGTACGTCCAACGGACGGACACGAAATGCGCACATACGACGGAGACAACACCGACCATTCTGATAGTCGTCAAGCTCTGCTTGTCTATTTAGTGAGACTAAACAAACGATGTAATCAATGGGCAGTCGGGCGAGACAGAGAGTGGGACAAAATCAGCAGTGTTGGTCTATTTCTCATGAAAACACATTCCATAGTTGGGCAAGTTGCTAATGCACGGATGTTGAAAGAACCGCGGACCAATCAACGAGCCAATTCAGCGACTTCTTTCGTCCGATCTGAGTTCGCTAACTTTGCATGTGCTGTTTGCTCTGTACAACTGGGTACAACTTTCCAACAAACTCAACTCAAACACTGATTTGGATTTTTCGACAAACCACCGCGAACGAAAATCGATTAAATCTACATGAGCAGTGACAGCATCACAAAAACTGACGGTCTTCGCTCTCTTATAACACGTCCGTCAACCCCAAAAGAGCACCAGCTTGTTTCCTGACAAGGGCCGGAAAACTTGAAGCACAAATAGGTTGTTTTGTGACTCGCTTATCGATAAACGAATGGGCTTTCATGAGGAAATACATCTGCTTACTCGGAGCCACTGCACGTCAACGGTTTTGATGCATCACAAGCAAAATATTCCGGAAATTTGGAGGGGTGAGCACTTTTTTCAGGCACAATGGAAGACAGCATGTTTTACATGCACAGTAGGGCCACCGAGGCTAGATTTTTGCTCCTTTCAGTTATCTGTATGCAGCTCTGCTTGTGTCTATATACTCTTCAATGAGTACCCGGTATGTTCTCATGCGATTGGCTACTTGGTATGCGCACTAACTATTAGTTTGGACGTTTTTTATGACTGCCTTAAAATTAATTCAAGGGTAGACAATAAATGCGATGTTCGTTAGGAGTTTTTTTTTCATGGGTCGTAATTTTGGAGCAGAGATGATAGGTTGTGAGCAAAAATAAATGTATAACACTACATCGCGTACACGTCGTAGTAAATCTGATTACAGCCTCCACGACAGGCCTAATCGTCGCCGTTTTTATATAGAATAATACTATCGCATTTCCCAAACGTTGCAATTGCCAATGTATTTTTGCTTTCACATTAGGTATGGGCTGTTCGTAACGCGATATGGGAAGGCCTTCAACCAAAACTTGGCGATTTGCCCTTTTACCGCAGAAACTTTGACTGCCTGAGACCGATGTACTGTGTTTGACAAAAACGAGAATATCAATGTGAAAAATAGTTCACCAGCTATCCTATCCAACTCAAACTGCGTTTGGAATCATGGATGTAATTGTATGAACACGGGTATAGGTAAAATGGAAGGGAACCAAGGCGGAGATAGAACTCATTTTTACGCATCTTGCACTGGAGTAGAGGATTGGCAAGCAGCAGCTCCGGAACCCACTAGAGTTGGTTTACTTATTGACTCTCGGTGCCTTCATAATAGTCGGCAGCATAACATCAGATTTCACTGGTGTTTAGGTGCCGTACAACAAGAATTTACTTGAAAGCTTTATTGTGAAGAAAAGATGGAAGGGTCCTAGAGCTAGTCTACCACAATTATTCCGAGGTGCCTACACCTCCAAATACTAATTCAGACAAGCCGGATGGAAACTGACGACAGGAACGCCACTGACATCGATTAGCGACCATAACTTGAAGACTTTTCGACATGCACAGGGGAATCACTATCCTGGAAAGCGAGTCACACCGACAGCACCCAGACTTTTCGGAATCTCTTTCATGCCTCGCTGCTAGATAAAATGTTAGCCACCTCTCTGTTCTGTCATTCTAAACTGGGCACGAGAAACATTTCTCTCTTCTGTAGATGATGGTGTCGCATGCGTAATACGTCGATTGCCTAATCAACGCAGCTTGTGGTGCTGGACACGTACATTGATGCCATCCCCCGTTTCACAACCAAATATTCGCTTTCTAATTGCGTCGTTACGGATTCGCCGACACCAGCCTACACGAGCTATGATTTTGAGACAACGGTTGTCGAAGACCTGAAGACGTCTGAGTTCCGCAGTCCGAAGAGGCTGTCTCGCAGAAATACGACAAAACCGCCCATACTGTAACCTGGTACACACACCTGTTTTAAAACTATGTAGGTCTGCCTACGTGCAAGAAGCTTTTTTAGTCATCGCGGAAAAGAACTAAGTTTTACTCAGACGTAGAGTAGACAGGCGGGCAGGACAACTAGAACACTACTCGAAAGTGCCATCTTAAAAGTAGAACAGCTTGTAAACACAACAGGGAACCTCCGATCCGTTTGGTTTACAGTGGTGATGCTCAGAGGACTGTACCACCGTTACTCTGCGAAAGCCCGCAGAGCGTTGCCAAAATTGTAACAGAACTCATAGTTCATATCATACAAAACTCTGCGACATTGGCTCCCCTTTGACGACTGTCTCTACGCGCTCCCTTTAGCGACTGCCGAGTAGGATTCGACCATCAGTATTCACAAAATGAACACTTACGAAGAGAACTTCATGTCTTGGTTACACCCATCCGGGGGTCGATGTGTAAATCATCCTGTTCGTTGCGGTAAGCCTAATCACTTGTAGTAAACTGGGCAAAATGAAGCAGAATAGGTGCGTCCAAGCTACGTGAAGAATTCGTCACGTTAGGAAATTGGCTGTGCAATATTTAGAAAACAACCAAAACATCGAATTAGTGAGCTATTCTGTTCGGAACATATATCGACCATAAATAGTCTACATCTGTGGTTCGTTTGGCTTTTGTCTCATTGCAACGAGTCGTTCTGTAACCAAAATAATCGATAAGTAACAAACAAGGATGGACTTACGTTCACACTGATGAAGTGCGGAATCTCGCGAGACCGGAACAAAGACCATACCTCCAAGACGCTCGTACACAGACTGTCCAAAAATATGTTTGGAAAAGGCAAATGGTACCTGATTGGGTGTTGTTTGTTGCAGTTCACTTCGAATAACTTCATTTACTTGAATCTTTAAGACGTGAAAAGTATGCGGAAACAAAATACCTGTTGCTGGACGGGTTGCTTACTGATTCTCATTTCTTTGTACTGAAAAAGTGCGGGTACTCGCTATCCGTAACTGCAGTTAAGTGGTCGTATCTGGTTGATCAATATTGATTTAAACAAATCTAAAACGATACGGAAATAGTGGAATGTTGTTAGGCTGAAAACTGTCACTTTGTGTGTGTGTGGAAAACATCTTCAGTTAGGGACAATCGGTACTGCATCCTTGAGCTAACAGGAAGCTTACATCGCAGCGGCTCAAGCAACTCGTTTAAACTATGAGGAAATGGAATAATAAGATATTCCGGTAAGATGCCCGATTCACCACAAAATACATGCATGCCGCCACATTAATAGTGAACATCCACTTACCTAAATACACCGGAATGTTTGAAGACGTTGAGATTTGGGTCCACTTCCTAAACTACTATTCGGTTTTCATATAACCAAACGGAGAATCTTTTCGCCGCAGAGCTGTCGCGCATTTCGGAGGCACGCATGCGTTAAACACTGATACTTCGCCACCATACAACCATGATTTGAAAGCCCTATTGTGGAGAATAACAACAAGAATAAAAACGCATGTGCCTAAATCTACAGATATTCACGTAGTGACCCTAGAGAGAAACTGATAACAAGAATACCATTCACATCGACTAGCAGCCATATACTGAAGCGTCTATAGCCATGCCCAGGATGCTCATGCGGATCCTGGCCCGGAAGCCTGGTCGCACTGATACTGACCAGATATTTCATAATCTCTATCCTTTCCCCGTTGCAGGTCAAGGGTTGGTCACCTCTGAATAAGACACAGAGAGCAGCACTCTTTAGCAAACCGCGACTCAACATGTACAATACATGACCAAGTCACTAATACAACTTCCAAAAAGCTCCACAAACTCGAGTATCTCGTAAGTCGCGTATTCAGTGAATTTTTGGGTGCAAAGTGCGGCCAGTTGATCAAGAAAACCAAAAACAGCTGCGTCTTTTCTTTTTGAACACGAAAACGATGCCGTCTGCGTATTCCAGATCGACAAAGTACTCGTCCGCAGCTACTTGAACAGCAGGGTTTCGAATACCTTCAAGTGCTCACTACATTACCTCTTCGATCACGAAATTAAATAGGATTGGAGAGAGCGGGCACTCCTAACGGACACCAGTTTGTGCACGGAAGCTTTTCGAGAGCTCTCCATGTACTCACATGCCCGAAGTTGCGAGAATACAAAGGGCTTATTATGTTCATAAACTTCCGGGATAATCCTTGCCGCGCAAGTGCGTTAAGGAGAACAGACCCGTTGACCGAATCGGATGTATTTTGGAAATCCAGAAATATTAAAATTGTGGATTGTGCAGCATGATTCATATGACCTTGCCGACTGCAGTTCTGGGGCGAATTTTTGGTTGAACCGCAGCATGTTTCAGTGATAAACATGGGCGTATCGCTTTAATCTCTCCCAGATAACTTCAAATGCAGTTGGCCGAATTCGAAGAATAACCAGGTGGTTGTTGGGACTGGCCAGCACCCAAATTTGGCGGCCAAAATTCAAAAAATTGTTGATTTTGTTCACTTACTTAAATGACGGTAATTGAGGTAATTCTCAAAATAGAGATAAATCTGAATGGCTTGCCTTCAGCTTCTGTCCAAGCTTTCTAGTGCCATCAGAACATGACCAAAAAGGAAAACACGTATTTTCAACTGACCGCCTTCAGCCGTTCTTGCCCTATCATGAGACGGGATACTGTACCTTTGGGGTATCCGCACTTTCGTTCGTTGTTGCTAGACAACTTATGGAAACGGTATGCATAAGGTAAGTCGAAAGAAATTAGGTCGCACTGAAACATACCAAGCTAGGTTATGACACCCGGATCCGCAAGGAGGCCTAGTTAAAACTCCTAAAGTGGCGCACGAACATCAGCCTTGTCAGTATGTTTGTCTTTCGAACCCCAACCAGTCAAAGGAGACAAAAATGAGCAGTGATTTAGCTACTGGCAATGTGATTGGTAGACAATCACAGTTTGCCGCTGCCAACAGGTCACTGGTAGCCTGGAACAGCACGTCTCGGAGTTACTCCAGCTACTTGCCTAAGTTAGTCGCCTCAAATTCAGACTGCTTTTACGGGGTCCAGTGACTATTTTGTACTCTCAATCTGACAGCGCTATCCGCTTCATTGAATCTTGCCCAAATTTGTTATTAACCGTGTCCTTCGCTGAATTCACTGTCGGCCCTGACCCTTCTAGGGGTTTGTTACTGCCTCGCAGACAAGTCACTAAAATACGTCTCTTGGTGCGATGGAAGCTCCAAAAACCGCTCGGTGAGCTAGATGATGAGCAAACGCTTTGACGCCTGTGATAATTTCTATGGCAACCTGTTAATGGACGGTCAACACCATGTCCACCCATGTCAACTTCCGCCACTCAGCGATGTGGTGTATTATACCATAACACAGTCGTACCACATGGAAAATGTAAAACTAACTACGCAAGTACTGAGTAGGTCAGGGCGACGTTGAACACTACTTTGAAGTGAACGTCGTATTCCGCCACTTGGAGAACAGCACCAGGATGGGTGACTAACCAGAGGTCTGAAGACAGTATCACATGGTCAACCATTGTGTTCCGGTCCAAGAAAAATGGCAAACGTTGTTCAGTGGCGGAATAAACAGTATTTGTTAAGAATACCCCTGAATGTATGTTTTCGTATAATTCGCGGGGTTATACATTTTCGGGACTGTTACTGCACAGAACTCAGAGACTCAATAGCTACAGACTAGAAAATTTCGCTGCTCTAACCTGTCCCACCACAGCTACTTGGTAGGTGCATGATGCACGTGCACTACACCTAAAATGAGCCAAGCTGAGATCGTATCAATTATTTTCACGACCGCTGCCACAGCAATTGTCTAACCAAACACGAATCCGTAGAGCAAGTGGGGAAAAGCCAACGGTAATGAGCCAAGTCAGATGAACAAAAGGTATTACAATCAGGTGAGAAACGCTTGTAACCGATTGAGAACAAGGTCTTGCAATGGGTTGTGGAAGTTTTAAGATGGGGGCTGCGATTCACACAACAGCGGCTGATAGCCGAGGCGGTGGAAATCACCAAGCATCACAGAGTGAACGGAATCGAGGATGTGGAACTGGAGGGTGTCTTAGATAAGCCGAGTTGACAAGTGACTGTGTGGTTGTCAATTCAGGGAGAATCATTAGCAAAAAGAGGGGGTGAAAATCCCAACCCGATCAAAGTTCACAGATTCCCTCTTAAACAACTGTCGTAGCACTATCTCATCCACACAGACGGACGGAAAGTGCAAACGACGAGCAAGAGAAATCATCACGTGAACTAAACCAGACTTCAGGCTGGACCCAAATCCATGTAGGCTTCCCCATTGACCTGACACACAAAATCCCTCGGTTGAAACCTAACAGAGATTTAGCTTTACTTAGCTGATTAATTCTCCTTCCGCCTTAAATTTTGACCAACCTCGTAACCTACTCACTTGGCCTGACGAAGCTTTCGTGTCAAGAGCGAAGCGTTGCCCAGCAATAAATCTACCGATTGTTACCAAACTTTTCCGAAAAGAGGTATTACATATTCTTTATCATTACTAGTCCTTTTTTCGACTGATCGACGGATTGTCTGTATCCATTCGTACTTCGAATAGGTTCAGTTCTATGCATAGGAAGGTGTCGTCGCAGATTCGCCTAGCCTACTAACTAATGTGCTTACCACCAGGTTGTGGTTCCCGATAGTCTTTCAAGTCACCGACCGCAGTTTCGTGTGCTGATTTTTGGTGTTTACCCAGTGAACTGTTTACAGCAGCTTGAGTGAGATTTTCTTGAGCATCTGGATAAAAACAGATTAGTTCGATAAGGAACAAAGTCTCGAAGTAATAGATGACACTAAATTCCTGCAAACTGTTGAACTGTGCCTAAATTTCCCGAGAGAACCGAACGCCGGACACAGCATGAACACCCAATAAGCGTACGTCAGAGTACAACAGACGAGCATTTGAAGAGACCACTAGAAGACATTTTTTAGTCCATACATCTGATAGCTGAATTTATTAAAACACACAAAGTGAATGAAAAAGAATCAAGAGAAACAATCGACAGACGAATGTAAGTCATGATCTCTTCGTGTTTTAAAATAAAGGATATGTGCTGTTTTCTCGAGGGCATCAGGACAAATTGTGGATACACGGAATTACCACACCCTCCCACAGACGTTTGAATTTACAACCACAATGTAAAATTAAGTAACTGTAGAATCATGAAGTTCAACCGCCTCCACACCGGTTTCCGCTGACTGGTCAGGCGATACACCGTAAGAGAATGAATAGCTTGGATTCAAAACTACGGAACGGGCTTTCCCATTACGCAGAGATGTAGACAGGTTAGAACCGTTCAAGCCGGAAAAGTCAGCGCTGCGAGTTACCTCAGCTCGCTTATTTATGCTGGCAGGATTCTGGCGGATGGCTGTTGTGAGCAATGCGCCCGTCAGCTGTGATGAACCTGCCAGAGTGGTACTCGGAGAACTGTTAACGGGTTCGACTGTTGGAGATGTATTTCTTCCGAAAGAGTACGAGCTCGAGGGTAGTTGGGACCCAGCTGGGATCTTCTTTCGGCTGAAACGCAGAAAATGAACAAGAACTGACGCTGGTAGTACCTTTGTCTAATGTGATGTTCTTCTGAGAATTCGATGATGGACCAAATGAAGAAGTTCATGGAATATGCAGATGACACGTGAAAAAGTTCACATGGTCATCCGAGATTTACCTCAGATTTGAAAATTTCAGTGTGATAGCATCTCATCCACCGGGAAAAACGTGTTTGAATATTTCATGAGAGCGATGGAGGGTGTCTGAAGTATTGATGTTCGTGGTGTACTTCATATCTGATTTTGGCCAGCTAAAGGGCCTGAACACCAAGTAAACGTGAAAGACACTTGAAAATAGGAGAGCACTAATGAACGCCAAACGACCATCATCCGATGTCATTCGGCTTCCTCAGGTTTCGTGGCCAAGGTCAACTTCCCGGGCACATAAGCTCAGCCTATTTTCGCACAGGCTACGAAGTACCAGAACAATGCTCCTCTGCCGAGGGTTCTAGCTGCTGGATAACTGACCAGAAACACTAGGAAACGATTCGCTTCTTGTGACCGTCGAAATCGTGGTAGTACCCCTCCCCGTTTGCCGTAGTGCTATTGTTCCGAATAGCAGGGATTCCATGTCGTACACTTGCAAGTCACTATATGTAAACCTAGTAAGTCGTTCATATTTCATAAATACAGTACGAAAGTAACATAGAATTGAAACTTTAAACAAAATATCTCCATCCTCTGCACTGAGTCCGTCCTCATTACGCTTTATTGGTGACCCAGGCTTCGTTAAGGAAATGGACCCCTTATAGACTATAGGCCACTTATAGGGTACTACAGATGAACGACTTTCTGATTTATCCATAAGGCACGCGTGGCTATGAACTAAGTAATTTCGTCTCCTCCATATAACAGATGTCCTGTAGGAGAAAGTCCACTGCTACAAGGGAAGGCGGTCATGACCCAGCATGCCAATCCAAAAAGAAACACGAATGCTTTCAAGACCTCTTCATTTCCTCATACTTATACTAAAAGACGCTGAAGCGTATGATGGAGAAAGGATATACCTGAGCACGAAGCCAACTAAGGAAACTGTAGAATCAATAAAAAATTGCCACCAGGAAGATGCGGACCGTGTTCGTTCCTATCGTCAACAGAGAGCTATAAATGACAGTTGTCAACAGGCTAGTGAAACCCTAATGTTGTCAGACCAATCGGTATGTCCACAGCAAAATGAAATGGGCTATTGCGATCCAGGGAAGGAGAAAACCACATGAGCATCAGTCCTGAATGTCCAAAGACCCCAAAAAGGGTCTTTGATAAAAAAGTAAACCAGAGAAGGACAATTGAACATAGCTGGATCAGGCAAAATCGATCAGTTAGACGTCACAGTAAATGAGGTAGAGTAATCTGGCACACAGTCGGGACGATGGGCCACAGCAATATGAGCAAAAAGATAAGCGGAATGTCAAGTGTGTGTTTGAGAATGACAGCAGCCAGGTAAATGGGGTTACAAGAACATACATCGAAAATCAAAATTTACTGAAGATGAGCACTTAGCATACAACGGTTTGTTTGTTCACCGAGCATGCGCTAGTTAGCACAAGCTTCAAGATCTGCACGTACTGTGAAACACTGCGGCTTTCACTTTCACAACTGTCACTTCAGGTAGACTAGCTATAGACGATACAGTCAACAGCGGTAAAACGTTGACCCGAAACGGACAGTGAGAGTCAAATTGCGTACGTGTTTGAATTCAAGCCGAACTCAAGACCAGGGCACAAGTCCACGGGTAGGTCGCAGATTCTAATGACCACTTGCTAAGCCGATGCCACCAAACGGAAATAGCTCAAGCCGGTTCGGACCAAGAGTTGTTCAGCTAACATACAGGTGGAAACTGCTTAAATAAACCGTTATACCAGAGAAGCTACGAAGCTTTCTTAGGCAGTTACTTTCCCGAAGGACAACAATGCCTCTGCGGGTCGAATTAGGTACTCGGGCAACTACAACGCTGTGTATCACAATGCAATTAGGTCTGTCGTCTGATACATCAACTTGGCCCCGATTGGTTAGACCATCTCGAACTGGCCGGCTTCGAAGTAAATCAGTCTCTAACCAGGTAAACCTGGTTTCTCCAGTTCTCGGGGCATCGTTCGGACTTTGGTACCTGTTTTAAAGTATATTATTGGCTGCTGTCCCGTGCCTGAACAGTTCTGTCTTGGAAATGGAAACAAACCGCTGCCCCCCTCCCAGAAGAGACTGGTAACATATGCAACTCTTGCATAAGTGTATGCCAAACTTAAGCGCAGAACCGGTGTTCTACCGTTAACACGAGACAAAACGGGACAATTCGCATGTGTACTGACCTATTAACTGGGCCCAACATTGTACCACAACCTAGCTCCAATTCACTTCTCATCCCTGTTCGTGGGGCTTAGTGGCTTACGCCTAATTTCAGGTCAAAGTCAGCGTGCCAACGACGAACACTCACTGTGACCTCTTTCAATATACTGCCTATCCAGAGGGCAGCTGCTGGTGGAAATGATGTTCTCTGAAATACTGAGCAGTGCCATTTGCCTGAGCGACGTGATCTTCAGAGGTCAACATCCCGATAAACTTATTGATCGTATGCAAGTCTTGTTACAAGGAAGTCGAATATATCGTTTCCGACTGTGTCCAGGTACCTCTGATAGTGACAGACGCCATCCTGATCAAGAAAATATATGATCCATTCAAAAATGTCGGCCCATAGGAATTTTCACGGTTTATCAGTTGAGAGAATATAGTATTGCTCTTCTTATATCAAGGTGGCAGGTGACATCCCACGCTGTCCCAGCGTCTGGGGTAAGAGGCGTGTCACAAAGAGACTGAACCTTACCGTGTATGACGCTTTGTGTATCTCCGCGATCCACTGAGCTATATTGGAGTGCGTGCGTGCGATACTCACAGAATCTCTCATAGCTAGTTGATCAATGGTTAGAGGGTTGGAACATATGTGGCGACTTTAGGCACTCCTCGTTGAACACCACTGCCTTGCGGTCCGGTTTTTGACTGAGGACCCTAATTGTCCTCCTGTCCAGGTCTGGGCTCCCTAGCAGTAGGCCGGCCCACATACAATCAATATCATAATGTACGGCAGCGAAGCATCAGTGTTAAACACCGGTGTTATGCTGTCGATGACGATGATGAAGCTGAGAATAAAAATATCAGGAAGCACCTTACCGGTGATCGAAATGCAAAGAGATTGACGGATGCTGGAAGCCGGTCACTCAGTACTCGTGCATCGTACAACTGCCATACGAGCAAGCTCTGTCTTAGTTCAGGATGGAGTACCGCTAATTCTGAATCCGAGGGTCTGCCGAATCTTACATATCGATTGGGGTTAAATTCGTACTCCACTTCAAAACTCACCGATATAAGGTCACCGGATTACATAGGGCGATACAAAAAATGGAAGCCGCAATAGGGGATAAGGTTACCGTAACATTTCAGCAGAATTCAAATGAAAAATAATCACATAGAAAGAAATCACCTTAACAGATAGAGCCGCATTGCTAGCAAGACTAGACTTCCGACCGTACGATTAGACCCACTGCAAAATTGACGCCCATCCATGGAGGTCATCTATTTATGAAAAACCTAAATTATCGACAGCGATCGCAGTCCTCACTGGCCCAATAATGATTATAAACTGCGCTGACATCAAAAGCAGTTACTACTATCTTAGCAGTGCATCAGTTTGATGCTATGGAGTACAGTAGGGTACCTTATTTCGGATGGTGGTAGAACCGTCGTTTAACAAACGGAACACTTTTTTTAATGTGTGGTCGACCGCCATACGGACCGGCAGAGTGGGTGGTTGCCATTTCATGGGCTTCACTTAATGCACTAATACAACACAAATCCAATGGGTCAATCACGATAAATGCCTCTTGATGAAGACATCACTCTAGCTGAAATTTGCCGTATATAAACCTCGATCCTGCTTCAACCAATTCACAATATCTGTTCCATTTAGTCAATTCATACAACTTGTGACATCAGAAAACATCAACGGATCTCACAGGAAGCGTACATTGGGACACAGTGTGGGCTGTCGTGTTGTGCGGCTGCAAGAGTTGGCCAGTTCGGGCGATGATCCATCTTCAGGTCTTTGACCACCGACATCTCAGAACTACAGCTGAAATCTGCTTAAAAAATGAATTCAGAATGAAGCGATCAGGAATCGGATCTTTGTTGAAGCAGGTGGTACTTCAGTCAAAAGATGCATCCAGCGCTGCAAGCTAAGGTGGCACTGCCATTTAATAGGCATGCTAAAACGAGTCCCGTTTTCCGTGCCTAATAAAGAGTGTCGGAGACCTAGAGATGGACAGAATTTGACACGGCAGAATGGAATGAAGGATGCTACGAAAAGTTTCGGTTCTGTTGTTGCTTTCGCCTTCCAGGATAGGTTTCACATTACAGATACATGTTCCACGACCTATGATCGTCTAGTTTAACGAGTTCCAGGTGAGACGTCACATAAACTCATCAACTCGACCGCTCAACCACAGAGGCTTGTATCTCACAAAAATGAGTAGTCCAATCCCTGGATGAAACTAGTGCAGGAACATTATTCATTCGTTACCCATTCAAGTGCGCAACCTGCTAGATAGTGAACAATCCTCCGGAAGCCTACAAATGAGGAGACAACCAAATGCCCTAGCTCGGATGAATGAGAGAGAACAGACTGCAACAGAGTAACATTCACATAACTAGAAAACGTCCTACGGAACAGGGAAGTACATTCCCAAAAACAGAGCCTAAATCGATGAAACTGCTGAGTACTCTGCTTTGCCCTGGAGAAATAGACACCCTTTCGATACCTAACTGCCACATCACCAGAAGGAAGCACGAGGGCTGGGATACTGCCAGGTTGCCCAAGCCTAGACAGAAGTCGAGAGACCTGAAGATCTGAGAGATAGTGATTGTGATGCGAGTGTACAGCTGACACTACAACCAAGCCAGCACCATCCGATATGTTTCCGTTTAACACTTGAAAGACGAACGAAAAAACACCGAACACAATAAACAACCCGCTGAACAAGGTAAAAACAAGGGTGCCACCGAAACTGCAATTGTTACAGGAACTACCTTGTGGTGGACATCGTCGGCTGTTGCTGAGACGCCAAAGCAGACACCAAATCGACTCCGACTTCAAAGCCAGTGCTGGGAAAATTACAGTGATTAGAAAGAAGTGGGAGGGATATTGGCAGAAAGTGTGGACAGGATCAAAACGAGGACAAGGAGGGAGAGATGAATCTGTGTAAACCGGGGAGGGGTGAAAATATGCTGGTCCCTAACAAGAGAATTTTGAAAGCGTACCATTAGTAGCTCGGAAAACAGGATACGACCTGAGTCATAAGAGCACCAGTGCTTAGTAACAGGCCTGTAGTGCTCTTACAAGAAGGTTTTTATGTTCGGTTCACTCCGCAGATCCAAATTGCACCTGAGATTGCACGTACCTAATAGTAAGCAACAGCTAGCCTATGCCGACACAACATTTGGAAAGGTGATCTGGATCGCGGTGGATTCGAAAGACCAAGTCCAACTGCCTTCCACTGCCGTCCGAAGCCTAGGAGGAACATGCTTCAAAGACCAGTTAGTGCATGGAAGAAATGCTCCGTGATGTTCACCCACTACATCCAATGTTGAACCATGAAATCCTTAGACCGAATCTTCCTTACGCGAAAAGAAACATGACACTGACTTCGAAATGGATAACATCAATTCCAGAAGAATCTTCAATAAAGCAAGACACCAAACAAGAGCTCACACGAATTCATGTATTAGTCAGCTAGACCAGGTGTATGTAGCAAGCGACAACAGAGCAATGAGTCCGAATAGCCGTTACGCGCACGACTGCACGATCGTAAACTAACTTAATTCGCAACGGCAAGAGAAAACTGAGGCCGAATCGCCAGGTCGGTTAACTTCTCCACCCCAAAATATGTCAAGGCCTTTTCGGTAACTAAGATGTCAGTTATGAGGACAAGGTTGACACAGCCACACATTATTTTCCTCCAGATTTCATTTCTCTCCGTACACTTAGTCTGTTGAGTAACCTCACGCACACCGCTCTCGAAATTTGGTTTTACAGTTCCATTTATATCCGTTATCACAGCCCTAGATCAACACCGGCTTAAACAACCAAATGATCCTATCTGGATCGGAATCATTCCAGTGTAGCGCCTGTCAAGCAGACATAAGAATGCCGTTTGTAAGAAACAGAAAAATTCAGGTACAGAATCAAAAATAGTAAGCGTGTAGGTTGGAATATATGCAGGGAAAATATAGTGGCTTTGATTTACAAAGGAAGTGTAGAACGAATTCGAGAACGCCCGACTACTATGAACTGTGTATGCTAGTCGATTCATCGGACCTGAACTAGATCAAACAACAGTAAAATGGAGCTTTTGATGAGAACAACGAAGATGGACAACATGACGATAACAGTTGATCAAGCAGTGAAAGCTAGCTCACCGTGGGCTGCTCACCTGTATTTTTTAGCATAATCCAGTTGAAGTTTAGTGAACAGACTTGATTTGAGCAACTCGTTTAAACGATTCAGGTGCGGCGTCGCCCGAGAAGCAGAGTTGACAGCGCTATGGATAGACAGAAACACAAAGACTACTCTAACGAATCAAATAGACGATATACCAGTTCCGGATAGAATGCTAACGAGGCTCAACACATCTAGTACTCCCCCAGTATACAACCTGCCAATATGCATGTTGTATAATTGCTGTTTTTTAAAACGTCTCATCGTTCATTGTTAAATCACTTTTCTTCGTTTCAGCACGCAGTGACAAGGTTTTGGATGAATAAAGCCAAGCTTCGGGGCCCTCAGACTTTTCCATTCCTATTCTCATTGTCGCCGCACCCAGTGCCTCATCGAACAATGGATCGATTCTTCTTGGACACCGATATCAATACTCAAAACTCTGCATATATCTGGGAGCACCGGTTTTGTACTTTCACGAATTTCCTATAGTTCATTGCCTCTCATTAACCAGCTAAATTGAAAACATTGTCCAATTACGTTGCTCCTAGTGTCTACCGCTTCATGAAAAAACTATAAGAACTACGAATCAGCTACTACGACCTTGAGAGAAATTTATGTACAACCGAAAAATGACATTTTCGCCCAGCGTCTATTGAATGTCTGAAAGCTAGACGGAAATCAGACTTTTGATCAATTTGTGCAAAAGCTTCACATTTTGTTCTCAGATTGCCGCTTTACGGCTGTCAACGCGGAACAACATAGCGATAAAGCACCACGAGACGGATTTATTAGTCGATTTTACTAGAATACTATACGCCACAGTCTGTTGGAGCACAACTCGCTGGATTTTAAGACTGTCTACGATTATGCGAAATCCATCGAAATGGCGCAAAAACAGACTCAGTCGTTTTTGCCGAACAACAAACTCCCCTGTACTACTTTATCGAACAACCCACTAAGCTCTCCACGTTTTCAAGCATCATCGCATGAACAGATGACTGCTGCTAATGAGGTCTTCATGTTTCTTCTGTGGCTATGCTCGTCACCCGCTACACGTCTCGCCAAAGACGAAAACTATAAAAACTGTGGAAAGAAAGAATATTGTCAGAAAGTAAGCAGATCTACTACGGGTCCGAGGAACACCGCACTGCTGCGGCTCCCGAGAGTCTCAAAGAAGCAGTCGCCATTTGGAGCTCCTGTTGATACTGGGCTCTTCTACTTACACAGGTAGTTCGTAGTCCATCGTGCCAAATGCTCTGTACTACCGTCGTCAACGGCAATCACTCTGGCGTACAACCAACACAAAAGCCTTGTTTTAAACACCGCAACATGAACAAAACATGTAACCCTGTGTCGAATGTTAACTATTACGTGATCTCTGTGCGGATAATCTACTATTGAAAGAAAAAAAGCCATTGCGGCGGAGGTAGTCATTAGGAAACACCAACTGAACAGTTACAGACTATTGGACAGGGAAGCAGAATTCTCATATGCATCTTGTTTATAAAAACTGAATGCCCGCCTTGAATGCGTCTCCTTGAACTTTCTTGGATGCTCATTGACTATCACTCAATTGTAAACAAACGCTACAAAGCGATTCCACAAATCAATTGTAAACGCTACAAAGCGATTCCACAAATTCTGTAACAAATATCACGTTTCAATAGACGCTAGGCTGATTTACGAGAATGCCACATACATGCCACATGCCTTATCAGTAGTGTCCATCGTTACAAACCTTACCCATTTAAAGGTCGTTCGCATGCAATCGACTTTCATTTGCTTCCGCAAAGTCGGCTCCAGCAGCTGGTCCATTCGGCTGCTTTTCGGGTGTATCATGCCACTCACGAAACTGAGCCCCATTTACCCTGTTCGACCCCCGACCGTCTTGAATTGTGCAGACGTTTCCCCAGCAGTCGGTAACGACAAACGGACCCTGTCATCGACTGCCCAGCTTCCGCGACCCCAGTCCACTCCTTCCAGGATTCCGATAATCCTTCCACTTGACCTTCGCGCCTATGGGGAATGGCCGAGACTTTCAACTTGCCGCTTTCTCTCTAGTCCTGTTCTGAACGGCGGTCAAGTTTCCTCGAGCTTTTCTTCCTTCCTCCAGCTCCTCTGGGGGCAAGAGGTTTGCCGGCCACAACCCGATTTCCTGATCAATCGGAAGGCGCAGATGTCGGCCGTACATTAGCATAAACGGGCACTTGCCTGTGGTTGGCTGTATGGAAGCACGATGAGCTGGCAACACCATTGGCAGGTTCACTTCCCAGTCACCTCCTCCGGCTGTCTGCCACTCCTTGCTCGTTCGGTTATCAAGTCCCGTTAGATCATTTGTTTGCGGGTGGTATGGTGCCATCACTAGCCGTCTAATTCCCAGCTTCTGCAGGCAATTCCTAAGCTATTCGCTCTCACAGCCAGGCTCCTGATCGGTCGGGATCATTTTTGGCACCCCATCGTTGGCTACGACGTGAGGCAATACCAATACACTGATCGTCATCGCCCGATGATTTGGCACGGCTGCCGCCGAAGTAAGTCGTACTTCTTGGTGCACCCAATGTGTGGCATCTCGTGGCGTCCGACGGTAAGGTTCCGTCTCAAGACGCGAGGTATCACGGGCAGCACAGCACCCGAATCGGTGGCGTTTCAGGAAATTATGCCAGCTTTATTCAGACTCAGCCGGTAAAAATGACTCAGAAACGTTTCCAATTCCTTGTTTTCCTCTTTGTTCTCAATACTCCTTCCATCCAACAGAGCGGCTGCAGCCTTTCATAACACGGGATCCTGCCGTTGGAGTTGCACCTGTTGGTTGCCATCCCGTCAACGTTTACCTTCAACCACTTTCACAGTTCGGTTACTACGTCATCAATGTTTACCTTAAACTACTCACGTAATTTGTTTAACACATGCAAACTCACTGTTTCACTCCTGTTTTGGTTATGTCATGAACATTCGCCCCACGACTAACCGAGATTACTGGAATCTTACCCTAAGACAAACAATGCAAGCACATCCTCACTCACAACGTATACGTATACGTATATATATATATATATATATATATACGGAACAAAGACAGCAGGGTGCCGACGCTCGTCACTGCACACAGCGCCTTGACCAGAGTCGATTCTAACCTACGCGCGACTCACTGTGCGGGAAAGTCTGGGCTGGATAGCGTTCGGATTAAACGACAAGAACCAGACCAGATTTAAACACGCTCAGTGAAGACCCACATTCAACACAACAGCGTCCTACAAACCTCGACATCATCTACCACAACTTATCAACCGAAGAACTCAATAAGTCTCTTTCCTTTTTGTGTTATTCAATTGTACTAAAGCGTCTCTAGTACAATTGTTAGTGTAATTAACCTTCTGGCATTACCTCGAGTAAAAAGGTAATAGCACCGACACCAACCTTCCGGGATCCAGTTTGACGACGAGGCTATTGGCCGCAACCATGATCCTAGAGACCTCATCTTCCGGCTTTGGTTTTGGCAGCCAATCAGCCAAGTGATTCTCCTTCCCTGGCAAGTGCTGGATCGTGAATTCGTATTCTTGCAACCGGAGTGCCCAGCGTGCGAGCTTTCCGTGAGGATCTCTGGTGGTCCTCATCCAATCCATGCGTTTGTGATCGGTTTCGACATGAAATCTTTGTCCAAGCAGATATGACCTACACTTATCCAGGGCTCAGATGACCGCTAAACATTCCTTCTCAATGGTCAACACCTCTGTTCAGCGTTAGTCAGGACGCGACTGGCATATTCGATAACTCCATTCCTGTGCTTTAGGACTGCGCCGACACAGCGATCACTAGTGTCCGTTGCAACGGTGAACATATCTCCGACCCTGGGAAGTTTGAGGGTCAGTCGCTGATCCAGCATCCACGCTTTGACACGCTCGGAAGCCTCCTGTGTTCCTCTGGTTCATTCGAATTTCCGATTTCATCCGAGCAAGTCGTACAGTGGGGCAGCAATTGTATTGAAATCCTTGACAAACCGGCTGTAGTATGCTGCTCCTCCAAGAAACTGCCGTAGAGACCGCTTTGAATTGGAAACAGCACAATCCTCGATCTTTGCCAATTTTTTGACAGTGGGATAACCTCTCCGCGACCCACTTTATGCCCCAGCAGTGTCACCGAATTCCAAGCTGTCTTGGCTTCAATTATCCGCAGGCCAGCCTCCCGGATACGCTTCAATACGGTCTTCAAGTGAACTGCGTGCTCTGATTCCGAGTTACTGTACACAACGATATCGTCCCCGTACACGGAAACATTCTGAAGTCCCTTCATTAGACGAAGCAGTAGGCGCCGGAGTGTGAATGGTGCCCCAGACAAACCAAACGGCATCCGTCTCAATTGATATTGGGTGTCTCCAACCGTGAACGTCGTTTTCTCCGGTTCTCCTCCTTGATAGATAGTTGCCAGTATCCGGAACGTAAGTCAAACATGGTAAGATATCGGGAATGCTGGAGGAAATCGAAAATCTCCGCAACCGAAGCGACGGCTACCACCCGATTTACGGTCAGTTCATTCAAGCGCCGGAAATCCACACAAAACCTGTATTTTCCATTCACCTTCCTTACAAGCACAACCGGAGAGCTGTACGCATCGTTAGTTTCCTCGATTATGCCATTTTTCAACATCTCTTGAATTTGTTTATGGGCCTCCTCCCGTAGATGGACTGGTAGCGTGTGGTGGGGCGGAAGGTCGAAGGCATTCGGATGACAGTGGAATCTTGTGTTCAATCCACGGGCAGGAGCCAAACGGATCTTTATTGTCCGTGAACAGTTCGGAATGTTCCGCGACCACAGATTGACGGCACCTCACAAGACAGAAGCTTTTGGACACGCAGCTCGCTCACGGCAGTGCTGGGATAACACTCAAGCTTGACAGTGTCGTACCTTATCACCAGTTTCCCCTGCTTTAGGTCAACCACGGAATCTGCGCTCTTGAGAAAAACCGCCCCCAATATTGTCTGTTCTATGTCTAGGCTGATCAGGAACGCGTGGTGCACGGACTTGTCGCCTAGGCGTATTGAGTGCAGTCAGTCTCCAGTCGATACCCACCCACTGCTCTTACGGCCAGCGCGCATGGTCTGCATTCAGTTTGGTTCCCTCCCCGCCTCAGCGACACCCTTGCTCCTGTATCAATCAAGCACAGCTCCATCTTCCCGTGTATCTCGATAACAAAACCTACACAGCTTTCGAAGCTTGCAACAATCTTCATGAGTTTTATCGAATATTTTCAAAGGGTAATGGATGTCATAATACGCGCGGAAGAACCTAGCGGGACATGTGGCTATGTGCATAATGTCATCATTTGTGGAATCAAGAACACGATCGAAATCTCCAGCGAATTCTCACCATAGGACAAAAGTGTGGCCTTAAATTAAATCAAGATGAAAACGTCCACCTCTAAACTCAGACTCCTCAGCCATGAAATTACTAAAGGTATCATCAAACCACACCCTGAACGTCTCAGGGTCTTGCAAGAACTGCCCGCCCCGAAGGACATGAAGTCTCGATAATGTGTAGTTGGTTTGTTCGTGTACTATTTTCCTTGAATGTATCACTTCTCTGATAAACTTACCCAATCAATCACAATACAACCTTTCCGGGCCGTGAGTCCGTTACGAAAGCGTTCGAAAGTCTCAAAAAAAGAGTTCATTGATGCAGCCGTGATCACTATCGATCCGAGAATGACTCAGGTAGTCGAAGCTGTGTCTGGTGTTGTGATTTTCGGTACACTCAATCAAGATAGCAGACCGGTCACATTCTTCTCACGCACACTGTCTGTCCGTGAAAAACATCATTCTGCTATTGAGACAGAAGGGTGCGCGATTGTTGAAGGAGCGCGCAAATGGAACCATTACCTACTCGCGACCCATTTCAAGAGTGTAACCGGTCAGCGTTCAGGTAGTCAACACAACAAAAAGGAAAAATGACAAAATCCAACAATGGCGGATGGAGTTACGGCCTTTTTCTTAGACCTAACTAGCAGACCAGACGTCGAAAACAAATCCCCTGACACGCTCTCCCGGAGTGTCTGTGCGAATACTTCATCTCAGCTGGATCTAGAACGCGTATACACAACCCTGGGTCATCCTGAGGCAATATGCACGATGTCCCATTCTCCTTAGAGGACATCCGACTTGTCATTGAGCAATGTCATGTGTGTGCGGAATTAAAACTACATTACTTCAAGCCATCTCGTGGTACACTCATTGAAGCCACACAAACGTTTGAACGTGCAAGCATCGATTTCAGAGGACCACTACTTCCAACGACTCAACTGACAGTTGTAGACGAATGTTCCCGTTTCCCATCCACCTTTGTCCAAATATAAGTTCCTCTACAGTGACATCATGTGTCGCTATTTGTTGCACTATCCTGCCTAGCTTCATGCATTCGGATCGCGCTTCATTGTTCGTTTCGGATGAGATTAATATATTTATTCATGGAAAAGGCGTTTCCACCAGTCGGACCACTCCATATAACTCTAAGGGGAATGGTCAGGTGGAACGATCAAACGGAACTTTGTGGGAAGCTGTTACGCTTTCTTTACGATCAAAAGGTCTTCAAATCAGTCATTGGGAAACCCTCTTATAAGACGCGCTCCACTCGATTCGTTCTTTGTTGTGCGCCGCCACAATGCAACTCCACACGAACGGATGTTTCATCATAATCAGTCGGTACATCACTGACGCAGTGGTTGCTTTCGCCGGGATCAGTTCTGATGCGGCGGAATACACTATCTCCGAAGTATAATCCTATAGTCGAAAAGGTTGAGCTCCTACAGTGTAGCCCTGAGTACACATATCTCCGACACCCCAACGACATGGAGGAAACTGTCTCCCTGCGTCATCTGGCGCCTTCCGAAAATTTCGAATGCACCCCGGCATCCGAACAGCAGAATTCGCAGCCAAATACTGATCCACTTATTAAGCTGGAACTATCTGGCTCCTCTTCTTCGGAATGTGAAATGTTAAATTCTTCTGAACACCCGTTGAGTGTACACCAACAGCGGACACGACCGTAATTCCTGCACAACACAGGTCTGATAATATTCAACTATAAAACGAACTTCTGTGAGCATTTATCTTTGCGGAAGGTGGACGTTGTATATTGACCCTGTTTTTCAAAACTTTCCATCATTCATTGCTAAATCACTTTTTCTCGTCTAAACTCGCAGTGTCAAATCCTTAAATGAATAGGGCTTAGCTCAGTCTTTCCGTTCTTATTCTGACTGTCGCCGCACTCCATTTCTCGTCGGACACAACAATGCGATTCCACAAAACTGGGGAAAACGATGTTAGCGAACAGAACTACTATACCACGGCATATGTCCCCCCCCCCAATAAGCAAAGAGCCTCCAAGAACGGGGCATTAATCCCTAATATGAAACGTCTTTTGATCGCTATTCGAAACATTCACACCTTTTCATCCCAATTACGTGAAAGCAAAACTGCAGGGAAACAAAACGCCGAAACGAAAATCCGCTAGTGATGAGGGTACATATTAAATGCACATGCTTATTACGGCTGTTTCGCTGCTGAATTTAGATTCAGTCAGGTTTAAATGGACTATGGAGGTCTACCCGGTTTAACAACTAGGACTAGCAAAGGGATTGTTCAGCTCCCAAAACGGTTAGCTGAGAGGGTAGTTATAGTGTGATATGGTCTTTTGGTCTCAAAATAACAACGCAATATTGTTAGTGTGTATGGTAATGGTCCATGTACATGCCATCAGAAGACAGACGTTACTGCCCCAAAGGTGTTGTAACTTGTTGAAGCCACTTAAAACGAAGTCACGGGTTGCTGCAAGACTGACCTTGAAGTTCTGAAGATCGAAAATTGTTTATGATGGAGTCCCGTTATTGTCTGAAGGACAACGGTATATACAGAGGCCATGAGTGTCACAGACAGATTACGCAAACCAACTTTAGTGACACAAGTTGAACGCGCAAGCGGAAGAGAGTAACGGGGTGAACAGATTAGTGACTACACACGAACCTTGTTCCAGATACGGATAAATATCAGCGCCAAATGAATCCAAAGTCAGCGGAGCCTGACACTAACCAACTCAACGTGTACTGGGTCCGGACCTTGCGGCCTTGCTCAAACCACGATGTTGAGGATAGAAGCAACGATAAACAAACTAGGCTTGATAGTATCAAGTATCACAAACTAATAGTGTTGCGCTCCATGCTCCAACAGCACTAGCGATTCAAAGGGCTCAAAAAATGTACTCCAAGAATACGAAGATGTTCACGATCCATTGATCACTTCCTATCACTCAACCGATCACTAGGCTCAAACAAATCGAGAAGCAATGTGATTAGGTGTTTGCACGGAGGCAGTCTTTACTCAACATGAGGGCAAACATACTGAGTTAAACTTTCTCACCTGATTGAGTAATCCACGTCGAAACAACACCCCTGTAGTTCAGAATTAACCTGCACAATTTTAGACTTTGGAGAAATAAGGATGAGTATAACCAGAAGGACTCACTCGTTCATTTGAGAGGGAGGGGGTCACCTTTCGTATGTGTTCCTGAATTCGAAAATACGCCAAAGATGGTTCGTTGGCTAGAGTGACATAAAACTGAGTAATATCTTCGCACACTAAAGGATGGGTGAAGGGTCAGAAACCTCTACCTATTTGACAAAGATCGGAGCCGGAGGCCGTGGTATGCACAAGGGCTATTGGTTTATCGGTATCTTCTGATATGAAGTGAATGTATGTAGAAATTATATAAGAAACACACTATCTCGGCTTAGAGAGAAATTCAAATGCTTTCCGAGCATAAAATCTTGATTTATTCCACCTGAGAAAGGATATGGAAATACGACGAAATCGACGCCGGAGAGGGGTTCAAAAAGCCTCGTTAATAATCCTCTGGAATACAAAGTTCAACACAGAAAAATTGTTGAATTAGCGTACGCTGCATTAGACGCAAATTTTGAGCAGGTCTGAACGCACAACCCCTGACGTTCCCCAGAGGAAGTAATCCGTTTCACTGGGTACAATATAGCTGTTGGCCTTGCCGAATGGGATGTGGATTTATTGACTCACATGCAAGTGGTCATCTACACCTACCTCAAAACGGAAGGCGACTTCGCAGGAAATCTTAAGCAGGATCAATATCGTCCACGGATGTAAAAACGTAAATAATCATCACTGACAGAAACACTAGAAGAATGTTGCACTGCCGTGCAAACACGTCAACATGTTTCGGTGAAGGCTCACGGAAAAAAGAAAATGGGGCAGGGAGGGGCATAGGATCAGCTTACAACAAATTCCGAGAAGCCTACACTTCCAAGACTCAATAAGACAATATGGATCCCTCCAGATTGACAGCGTGAATGCTACCGACATCGGTTAGCTGCCACTTAGTGTGAACATGCCTGGAGTCCCTTAAGGGGCTTGTTAGTGCAAAACAAGATGATCCGTTCAGTGGAAATGTCGTCAGCGTATTTCCAGTCAGCCAAGTTTTATTGAGTTCGTTTTTTCAGCTCACAAACTATGCATCACAGTGCAGTGGTTCCATATACCCTTGCTTCGTTCACAGAGGATAAGGAGAGTAAGTGAATGGCAGTCAAGCGTTAGAGGCAGTGGTCCAATCTGTTTACTGACAAATGGGTCTGTTTGTCCAGTATGGCAGAAAGTGAAAGCTATGCAATGAAGGCAAGAGCACTGACGCAAGACCGCCACTGGCTGCGTGATACAGTCATATCTGTCAGGGTCACTAACCACTGATCTCACACATCCTGTGGTCTCCATCCATTAAGGCGGCAGTTAAATGGCAGCGGATACAGTCATAACCTGTCAGGTCACTAACCACTGATCTCACACATCCTGTGGTCTCCATCCATTAAGGCGGCAGTTACCAACGCGACTGAGTTGACGAGGGATGGCTTTATAGTTTCGTTGCCAAGTCATGAACTGACCAACTTTCGGTAGTTTCGTCTGGTCCCAGGCTGAGACAAGGGCTCTACAAGGCACACGAATTTCCTGGCATAGGAAGTGTAACTTGTGATTTTTGAAGGAAAGTAAACTTTCCCGAAAACAATCCAGTAATACTGTCCTGATGTTCCAACCAGACCTACGCAACGCTTCGGAGACACCGATAGTCAAACACAGAGTCCCCGAAGATCTTCCGCACGAAGCGGTCACGTCTCTGATCCGTAAAGTAAGGCAGATCACACCGTACACTCTACCCTTGACAATCAATGAATCAACATCGGTGCCTAAATGTCAAAAGTTGGCAAACGCTGACTTAGTCTTCCCGATTCCGGAAGTGATTTCGTCTTTTGCTAGACCATCAAGACCTCTGCGGCTGCCTAGATAAACGAACCTATTTACCACATCGACCGGTTCACTCGCATGAGGTTTGGGTTCTCTCATCCGACCTCGGAATAGCATTTTACACTCAAAAGGTGCGGAGTGTATACCAAGCCGTGCCACGGAATTATTTATTTAGTGCGAAGTAATTTACATTTCTGAAGAGTCTGGTCCAAGAAGAGGAATACCAACAGCGTGCAAAATGTCCAATAATGAAATCGCCGGGAGTAGTTCGATACTCGAGGTGGTGGAGGCAGATAAATGAGTCGAAGAGTGACAGATACCCTTGCCAAACACCAGTGGGTGTGATAAAACGACAGAAGAATCTGCCATGAACACATACGCATCCCTGGGAGAGGCCATACAGTTCCTTCATAAGAAATAAGAACTTAGAAAGGACACCATCGTGAGATACTGCCACAGCTTTCGACGATCAGCAGTCTAAAGCAGATCAGATAACGAGAAATCTTATCATTGTTGGTCGTCGGAAGGAGTAGTGCAGTGCCAGTTTTGTTGCAAAGTGAATATATGATTAATGCAACCGCAACCAGGGCGAAGCCCAGCTTGATTCTCGCGATGATAGACCAACCTCTGCAGGATAATACCAGAGGGCGCCCTGAAAGCCACGGTCACAAGACTGATACCACGATGGTTTTGGCACGAACTCCTGCACCCTTTCTGAATGTGGGAATCACCGTCGAGGCGAACCATTTTGTCAATATTCTTTCCTCATTCCAGCTATTCGGAGTGAGCTCGTCAGGATAACCACGAGGGACTAGCCATCTTCTGCAAAGAGTCTAGAATACAAGCCGTGTGGTCCAGGTACATTCATGCGGTGAAGCGATGAAAGTGCACGCTGGATTCCCGTTTTTGATAGCTGATTTGGGTTCGTTTGGTTCTTTCAGGGGGTGTGTTGGTACAGCCAAGCAGAACTGTTCCTCAAATTGTTCAACTCACCGCTTGACTTGAGGTCCCGTCTTCTCCGAAGGTAGTTTCATTAGCAGAAATTTTACTCGGATCAGCTGTCCGTCTACCTGGAACGAGGTTTAATCGCTTCCTGTTACAAAAGCTTTCTCAGTTTCTCAGGCATTCGCGATCCGCTAGTACTCTATCAGTCCTCATGCCCTTCATCATTCGGCCAGTTAGGGAGCCACGCGCGCCATCAAAGTCATTTGTTTTCCTGGATTCAGTCAGGACTGTTGATCGTAACAAGATCAAGTGTTTATTGGGAATGCGAGAGCGACCACGGGCAGACGAGCGTGGTTTCCTGCATCTTCCTCCAATTGTCGTAAATGATAAATAAATGTTCAGCCGTAACACCCTTCTGGTACCCAGCTGCCACGCCACCCGAAGGAAGCAAGAGAGCGGAGGTACTGCCAGGTTGCCCAAGCAGAAACAGGAGCCATCAAAATACAAAGTTTGGGCTCGAACCACCTACCTTCCCAGTCAGTAAGTTAGCACATCAACCACTCCCGACCTAAAGCTGCCACGTTGACGTGGTGGTCCGCCTTCAGTGCTACAATGATCCCGCGGGCTACACTGGCTGGAAGTCGTTCCACAACACGCGATCACGCGACTTGCGGCGTCATCCCCATTCTGATTGGTTGATACCTAGATGGCGGGAACATTCAAAAGTGGCAACATTCCGGATTTGCGGTTCATGATTGACCCTCTCAAACGAAGCATATTTAAAGAGTGTTATCCTATATTTTGTTCCTAAAGTTAGCCATATCCCCAAAGGAGGATGATATTTGGGATTATCGGCGGTAACAAAAATTAATTAGTCAGAACAACCCAGATTCAGCGGCTGGCGCTGGTGTATTGGCTGTTTGCAATCAGCATCGTTCACATATTATGAAACAGTTATTCGTTTGAATTAAAAGAATAGCCTACGTGTAACGGTACATGTTCCTCTCAATGAATCCATTGAAGGCCATATATCCTTGGAATTGTGTTCGGTAGCTAAGGCACCCTATATATTCATTGACTGCCCTAGGTGAGATACCCAGTGTGTTCATGGACAGCCCTAACTTTGGTTTATAATGACAGAAACATCGGTGCGTCGTTTGGAGCTAACGGATCAACGATAGCGTCTGTGGCTGAGCTAGAGCTGCAGCTCTGGCACCACCGGTGGCAAGGGTAACATGCCACCTCTATTCACTACCTTTGGGCACCGATGCCCACCGGTGGTGCCACCGGCGGCGTGTTTACTGAGTGGTCACCTATTTTCAATTTCTGATCGTTCACCCCCTAACGAAAAGTATCGTTGTGGCATGAAGAGGGGTTTACCAATTATCTGAACACACAGAATAGTGTAAGCAGTTGTTGACGTTTTTAGTGAGCCTATCATCTGATTAATCATGAATCTTACCCTCAGATAGTCGACTAAAGGCATTATGGACGCATTCATCAGTCGGGTAACGAAAACAGCCACTTGCCGCAACCGCTTGTTGTACTTTCCTATATAGCGTTGTTCTTGAAGAGCCTTTACGAGCAACACGAACAAATTTCGGGCGCATTGACGGTTACTTGAAGTGAAAATGACTCTGAAGAAAAAAACGAGTTAAATGATTGAAGCGCGTAAACCAAGGAAAGATGGACTGTCAGTGCAAGCGAGAAAATCGCATGGAATAATTTTAATAATTTATTGCAGGATACCTCTGCTTCTCCGCGTGAAATACCTGCCATAAGACGTTTGTAAAATAAAAAATCTTAACATCACAATGTATCCGCGAACAGAGTCGGCGACTTGCGGTCTGGACCGGGCAACTGGTGTGTGAAGGCCAAAGTTAGGGTAGTATATAAACTGTTGCCGAGCTACAAATGGTCATTCCTCGCTTGCTCCGTTTGCGGTCCGGGTACCCGCGCCATTTGGGACGCCGCCAGCACGGTTTCAACGACGCTACGGCCCATTTTTCCTGAGCCGAGTACCTTATCAACTGGATTGTTGTCAAGTAAGATGGTTCAATATTTTGTACGCCCACAGAATGTATCCTCTGGCGAGCAGAATGACCTGCGTACGTTTGAGTGTTGTTTGTGTTTGGATTGTTGCGATTTTTTAAGTCATCCATGGAAATCCGGGACTATGTCCGGAAAAAATATTGAATAGACTTGACCGGTAATGATGTGCGGGTCCTGCACGACAAACTGCGCCGCTTGAACTATCCTGTATATGATCTGCAGGGTATCCGAGATGCGCTGCGCCCATTTGGACCCATGGCTGTGTCTGTGGTGATGGGAGTTTGAATGTTCTTTTACTTCCGTCCGTCTGCGTGGCTTGTATGCAAAGTATGGTGATGTAATTCAGGCACTAGCACTTATGCTACCACACGCAGGTGTAGGTGGTTGGTGGGTTTTTTCTTCCGTAAAATCCCCTCCTCAACGTGGTACAGTAGTGGAGACCAGTATGCGTCGTTTACGCAGGCGGGGCGAACGTGGCTCTGGTCGTTTCCATTCCGTTGCC